AAAATCATACAAATCGAGGCTATGTATACAGTTTTACAATGTCACAGAAAAAGCAACGCGATTGTTCTCTACTCCTAAAGCCTTAAATTGACCAGATTTTCACTATGTATATGTTATAGTCAAATCTCATCTCCAATGGCTATACCTTGTACCTTTTCATGAGCATAAAATATACATGAATAAGCAAAGGCTTCCCTTAACCGAATTTATGAACGAATTGTTTAATAAAAAAGACCCAAATCATACAACGCCCCCGCAGGCGGTAGTAACCGTACCTCTCTTAAATCATTGCATTGTCCAGAGAATTAAAAAATTATTCACTAAAAACATTTCCATTTATTATCATAATTAACCTTGTACCCTTAGCACGAATCAATATCGAATTCGTAACGTTTGCGAGTGCGAAATTTAATTGTCAAATGTGTACTTTTACTTCTCGTTACGTCCGTTATGGCGCTGCTGTTTCATGTTGCAAGTTTCCATATAAAATTTGACAATGACATTTCTGACTCGCAAACTATTCGAATTCGAAAATGGTTTGTGCTAAGGGCACGGTAAACAAGCTGTGCAGTTTGCAACAAAACCTAATTATTTGCTAAAAGAAACATCGTTATCACGTCGAGTCTCAGTATGAGCTGACCCTTAAAGAGATGAAAAGATTATAAGGAAACAATATAACGGGCTATTATGTAACATTGTCGATAGAAAATACAGGTTTGCCATTAGGAAGTGGCAGAATATCATAATTGCAACAGTATTATTACCTCATTACGAATAGTATTCTATATTTAGATTTAAACATCTAGCAGTTACATGCTTAAAAACTAGAAAAATATAATAGTATTCTATTTTTAAATAAATTTCGTTATCACATAAAGAATAATATCATAATGAGCACTGTACCTAATTGCATAACTATTAAACAATTTATCTATTGTGTGTTATTAGCTTTAACAAAGATTTATTATAAATTAATGAGTGGTGTCACAAAAAAAAACATTAGCTTAATGAAAATTATTAAAACTTCCGCCAAGAGCGTCACGGTTGCGACCTGTGATGTTCCGGGTTAAGCAAATAGAGTTGAAAGGTTAATTAACAAATAATAAATTAGCAAAATCATATCTTTTTTTTAAGTATAGGTTTTCAACAGTGAGATTTATAAAAATGTATTTATTATTTCTCTCAAAATACCTACAATCTGTAAACGTTAACGTAATCCTAGAGAAGACGTTCGAAGTTTTCCTTCTTTTATGGAAATACTAATTAGAAACCAAGTTCCAAATGACAAAAAAAAAAGAAAAGAATAAGAGCCGGATTCTTGCTGTGTTAATTTTGTATTTCAAACCTTGAATTATTGAATAAATTAAGGTCTACAATTTATTTTACAAACTCCAGTAAAAAATAGTCTAATTACAAAAGTAATTAGACTATTTTTTATTGGAGTTTACTCCTTAAGAATCGATTTGCATATACTATAAGAGGCCCGCTATGAGAAAAATGTGAGGAGTAAAATCTATCGATGAATGACATTAATGACCTCGTTACGTTTTTGTGCGCAACCTCATCTGCGCACCTTTACTTTTAGCCATGGTACCGTTGCCACCTTTTTATCCGTATAAAAAGCATTAAGTTGTCACAAAATAAATAAACTAAAAATAGATAAAATCGGAGCAAAATTAATGAAAACAAATAAATAACAGAATATTGAGAAATTCCGGTAAGTGTCCAGCACTCTGGAATAGTGATTTTCAGTACAGATGGAATTTATAATACATATTTACAAAATGTATACAGCCTACATTAATAGAAGAGACCACTACTGCTGTAACATCACCAGCCAGACCCAGCCAATGTAATGAGTATAATATCCGGGACCTCAGTACAGATTATAAAGTGTTTTTATACGAGGATCAACAAATTATCCCACTAGGTCGATGATGCAGCAAAATGTGTGACGCTCCAACCATCCTCCTTTGCCGAACAGTACACCTAGCACGAATCAATATCGAATTCGTATCGTTTGCGAGTTCGAAATGTCATTGTCAAATTTTGTATGAAAACTTGAACTGCAGCGGCAGCACAAAGTACGCAACGAGAACTAAAACTCAATACACATCTGACAATGACATTTTGGACTCGCTAACGATACGAATTGGATATTGGTTCGTGCTAGGGGTACTGAATCCAATACCCCGCCGTGCCCTGGAACCTTACTCACCAGCAGAAACAGAACACCACCAAAGAAGGTTGCTTCCCCAGGCGGGCGCTCCAATTCGAGCGAAAATCCGCTTTAGCTCCGTTGTGATTTGAGATTCGATGAAACGGAAGTAGAGTATTTGACACAAGATATATATCCGTAATTTTATCATTTACTATAACGAACGGATAGCCGAACGGTAACGGTCCTGGGGTCGATACAACCGGTGGTCCGATCCTGAGCTCGGTAATTTTTTAATTGTTTTAATCGCTTTTTTTCTTTCATTAAGCTATTATTTATATTTTGAAACAATCTAAGTATACAATATTTATATTTGCCCAATACTTGAATAGTTAAGTATTAAAAGTTTGGTAGGTGCCTAAATTTTTTATTAATACAGGTTTGGTTTTTATCAACAATCCTTACCTTTCCAATGTTTGCAATTTGTTTACAGTAATTTTTCATAAATAAATATTTCGAAAAATACCTAAAATAAGAAAAGAATAACAAAAGTAATAAATTAAAATTAGCTGGTAACAAATAAAACTTTTAAGTGTTCACATTTTTGTAGGTTTTAAATTGAAACGCAATTAAAACTATGATATTTTCACATCACTGACATGGGTAGATAAATCTTGAGGAACATGTCAATATATCACACTTTAAGATAAAATAATGAGAAAGGAGTGTTTTCTACAAAATTGGGGTCATTTCGGTCAAAACGTCCACGACGTCACCATTTTTCGCGGAGCGCGTACTTCAAACTGAAAGTTCAGAGAGCACTGCGTTTTTATTCACAACGCCATCTACATATTTTGCCTAGACTAAAAAGACCACAAGCAGCGATAAGGATGCTTTCTTTTAGCAAAAGTTTTTGTGTACCTATTTAATATCTTTGAGCGTCGTCAAAATTTGTTTACAAATAATTGTATATGTACTTTACAACATTGATACTTCACTTTCCATAATAATGAAAGCAGCTGAAGAAACAGCCTACATTAATAGAAGAGACCACTACTGCTGTAACATCACCAGCCAGACCCAGCCAATGTAATGAGTATAATATCCGGGACCTCAGTACAGATTATAAAGTGTTTTTATACGAGGATCAACAAATTATCCCACTAGGTCGATGATGCAGCAAAATGTGTGACGCTCCAACCATCCTCCTTTGCCGAACAGTACACCTAGCACGAATCAATATCGAATTCGTATCGTTTGCGAGTTCGAAATGTCATTGTCAAATTTTGTATGAAAACTTGAACTGCAGCGGCAGCACAAAGTACGCAACGAGAACTAAAACTCAATACACATCTGACAATGACATTTTGGACTCGCTAACGATACGAATTGGATATTGGTTCGTGCTAGGGGTACTGAATCCAATACCCCGCCGTGCCCTGGAACCTTACTCACCAGCAGAAACAGAACACCACCAAAGAAGGTTGCTTCCCCAGGCGGGCGCTCCAATTCGAGCGAAAATCCGCTGTGCTCTGCCTCTCCTATCTATGCTACCTAGACACCTGCGCTGTGCTCGCTTTTCGAAACATTTTCGTCACGAATTAGGTATATTAAATTTTCTCATTTTTTCCAATGTATAATGCACTGTGATCATTCTTGTACAAGCTAAGTACTATTTTTTAACCGCCTAAAGATAGCTGATACGGCAAAGTTTGTAGATTCTTAGCATGATTATATCTGAATCCCTTACGTTAGGTCCTAACCAACCAATCTTACTTCAGAAAAAAGTACAGCTTTTCGAGGGTGCGGTAAATAATGTGAGAATGGCTACAGCGACGCACTTTTCTATCGTATTGGCAATGCTACTCTGTAAGTGTCGCTGTAAGTGACACTGACAATGAAAACTACAGGAAATATGCCGGGGTGGCGGTGTTTTGTGCTTGTGGCCGGTGGCCCTAAGAATAAACTTACTTTTCACCGTGGAATTCGCCCTTGTGTGATTTAAAATTTATTTGAAATTCGTGTTCTAATTTTTAATACACACCGCGGATTCCTTGGTGAACATTCAGTTTGTTCTGACAGAATAACACTGCAGGTGAAGATGACTTGCCTAGACTCCATTCCGGAGACGCTCCTATTCGAGCGGAAAATCTACGTAGGATTAAATAAATTTTATGACGAAACCCAAAATGTAAGTTATACATTAGCATAAATTATTCTAAATTCAAATATATATGAATGCGATGTTTTGAATATAGCTAAACTTACATAAGATAATAATAATAACAAAACTGGTTGACAAAAGTCACGTTTGAATAAATACAACGAGGTGATATTTTTAATTGTAAGTAGTTTTTGTAGCAAAGATGCCACTTAAGAACCTTGACTTGCAGATTACTTTAAAAAAAAACTAGTTATGCGGAGGCAGTTGTTTGTTTTATTTAACATTTCATAGTAGTTTTGACATAATTGTTACCAATAATTGATTACCAATTTCGTTTTGTAGTTTTTAGTAAATGTTAACTTTATGAGCACATTTGGGGAAAAATCTTCTTTTTTGGTTTTATCTCCATTGCCAACGTTATAGTGACACATACATCATCTATGTAACATAATTGTTTCTCACACAAACTTGCATCTTGCATACCTCATATTATTTCCTTCTAAAAAGTCTCATCATTCTATTTTAAAATAAAATTCATCAAAATCTATATACCGATTTAGGCATGTAAGCAAAACAGACAGACATATTTATTATCACATAATTTATAGTATTAAGAATGGAAAAGTACTACAATTAGCAAATTTGTATATAAACCATCTAACATAAACTATTACTTACTTTCTCGAATCCTGTTACTGTAAATCCTGTAAGTACCTAATTTTCAAGCTGTTCCTTTTGTTGACATAGCATAGGAAAATGTCACTGGCTAGTTATTGGCACAATAAAAAAGTAGATTCCTAACTAAAGAGTTTCCGCAAACAATTTAAAAAAATTGTCCCGCGTATATTATCGCGCGGCGCTAGCAACCTGCCACTGCGCTTGAGCACGTTTCACCGACTGTAGAATCTCACGTGTGTACCTAACAACATGATTATCTCAAGCATTACTTACTTCATTGTCTACAACTGATAGATCGTAGCTAGCAGTGCACCAACTGGCATCCTGCAATTGTCACCAATTCAATGAGAAGGATGACAGTTTAAAACGTTGTTCAAAGGGAAAATCTTATATAAACGACGGCCGTAGGTAGACCAATCATTCGTCTAAGGATTCTAAGGCGAAACAATGTCAACGAATAATATCGTAGAGCAGTATCATTCGATTATTCGGCATGTAATTTCGATTAATCGTTGGTTGGTAAGGATATAATCGAACTCCAAATGTCATATTAATATGGGTATCTATAACTAGTCTCCCTTTCTTTTGCAAGTCAATTTATTTCAGGTTTATTTTCCATTGCATACAACATGCTTCTGTACTAAGAAGTAAAGGTTGTCATATTTTTGTTCTCATGGTGATGTATAAACCACGGACCTGAAAAAAAGAGAGATATTTTTTCAGGTCCGTGGTATAAACAAAGAAAAGTTTTTTCTTGTTTTGCGGCTACAATCACAAACGTCAATATCATAGATAAGTTCTTTTGTTTTTGAGATCATCGCGATTATACAACATAGAGATACGGCGGAGAATTTCAATATTTTTGATTCCTCGAGTGCGGTTGTTCGTCTCGTATTAATTTTTATTTACGAGTGACTCTGTGTCTAACTCTCTGAGTTTGGATGTTACTAGGCAATGGGCTCGAAATTATAATCACAAAACTGTTTTTAAATATCTTTTAATTGCTGTTCATATAAAATCTGTATAGAAATTAGTGTCATATTAATGATCAATCTCAAGCAATTAAATAATAATTTAAAACTGAATATCAAAAACATATAACGTTGTTGTCAAGTTTTTAAAATAAAAGAGTGCATAAAAATTTTTTTTTTACTATACATTCAGAGGCCCCGGCCCGAACTTTGACACCTTAGGGAGCTGTCGATCATATCGACAGTGGAAAAGCAAATACAAATATACGCCACTTTGGTGCTGCTTAAAAATTATCATTAAATAAAAACTAAAATTAAGTTAATTTTCAAGCAACACCAAAGTGGCGTATAAGCTATTTTGCTTTTCCACTGTCGAATCGTCATCGTCAAATTTTGTATGAAAGGATCCAGTTTGTTCAGTGACGCAGCACTTCACGTACGGCGGTGGTAGAAGTCCCTGAGACTTCATCAAAAGTTCCAAAACTTTAAACGAATTTATCTCGTTGAATTTACAGCAAATTCGTATTTTATAATATTTAAATAGTAATAGCTGATTTTTTATATGCGTGCTTGCTTTGTATCACCATGAGTTCTCGTTTGGGAGATTTCTCATCTTTGATTTGGAAAAAAATAGATCAACTATATATTTTTTTAATAAATCATTTTTGCATATGCGCGTGGTGCTAATTTCTGAAACCACCTACCTATTTTTTTAATTTGAAGCGGATATTTTAATCTGCGCAAAGAGATTAATATTTTAATATATGTATTTGAATTTTCGTGACCTATCTACTATGTTACTTAGTATTTGAGAACCAAGTACCCTGTAGGTATTACAATTTGTTTTATATGTTCTGTGTACTTCATTGTGGTTTGTTTTAATAAAAAAAATGGTACATAAGTGTGCTATGTGGTTGTAATGATCATGTTTTTCGTTTCAAGGGCTATCTTACAGCGGAAACTCATAATCAATACACACGCAATGCAGAAACTACGGAATATTTAATTTCAGTAATGCGTTGTAGTACCTAGTGTGATTTCAGAAGGGGCCTATACATCCATCCGTTGATTAATTCATCAATCATCTATAATATAAAAATGAATCGCTGAATGTGTTGCTAAGCGCAAATCTCGAGAACAAGTGAACCGATTTCGATAATTCTTTTTTTAGAATATTCCTTCAAGTACGAGGATGGTGCTTACGCAGTGAAAATTTAAAAAAAATACCTGAAAAAGTCAAAAAACAACACTTTTCTATACTCTCATACAAACGATTCGTAATAATACTTAAAAGTCAATTTGTACTTTAATACCATACCATAAACTTCAAAGGTTAGTGGAGAGGTTCCGGGAAGGCTAAACAATTGAGTGACGTAATATGTCAATAGAATCTAAAGAAAATATAACTAGAAAAAATTCCACGCGGACCAGGCAGCAGACGGGACTCGAACACGCACCCTTCGCAATCCAGGCGAATGCACTGACCAATTATGCTACCGCGGCCCTCACGGACCGCGTCGAAATTCTTCTAGCCATTCTTAAGCTGCAAGGCAGCGCCATTTCTTCGCATTGTAGGTAACCCGTCTGCTGCCTGGTCCGCGTGGATCTTTTTCTAGTTATATTTTCTTTAGATTTAAACATCAAGCAGTTACATGCTTAAAAAATTAAATATATATATACGAATCCTGGTGGGGGCAGATGTTTGTGTGATGAATACGAGCATTTGTACTCCAGTCATGGATGTTTAATATGTATTTCATATAAATATACTTATATATGTACAATATATGTATTCTATCCGTTACCCTAGTATCCCATAACACAAGCCTTTACAGTGCTTACTTTGGGGCGAGGCTAATTGGTGTGAGTGTTGGAAATATTTATTTATTTATTATTTATTTATTATATATATATATATATATATATATATATATATATATATATATATATATATATATATATAATGTCAATAGAAGTTTAGAAAAGGAAAATAATTACCATTTTCTGTTTTTCATTCAAAACATTTCAGTTTCAGCATCTTATCGTTTGTTTGGAGCGACACTTTTGTCACGTATTTTTTTTCATGACTGGACGCCATTTACACTTGGGATAATTTAGTTTCTGAATATAAATTGGCAGGGTTTGTAGTTGTAGACATCCAGTTGGTAAAAATTATAGGCTGATGCTGAAGTAAAATTTCGATGACGCAGATGGTTAGTGCGTTCCGTCTGCGATAGTGAAAGTTAAACAACTTTCCCAATGACCGGCCATCCATTGGGATGGGTGCCCAAAAAACTTATTATCTCGAGCTCCTCCGTACTTCGGAAGGCACGTTAAGCCGTTTAGTCCAGTCAAATTACGGAAAAAAAAGGGCTAAAAAAACATGAGCGAGCACAGTTTGGGGATTTTGAGGATCGATAGGGGGGTGCATCCTGAGCTTAAGTTCCAATTTGAGGGGCTGTTCTGAGGTCAGCTCAAGGTCATTTCGATGCAAACGCGTTTAATTCGATATCTCGAGAAATATCAGTGTTAGCCAAAAAATTATAGAAACCTTTTTTCTTCTAAATAAAATTTATTAACTTTTTTATTTAAAACTTTTTTTTGTAACATCAATATTTTTTAAGTTATTACTCCCGCAAGGCAAAAATTTCATTTTTTTCCCTATTTTTCGTCGTTTTCTCCCCAAACATTCAATTTTATTGAATTTTACCGATCATCAACGTGTATATCTTTTAATTATGCACAATTTTGTTCTTAAACTTTTTTCTGTAACTTCAATACCTTCGGAGTTATTCGACCTCGGGTGCTGAATTTTCCGAATTTTATAACCTATTTTTTGTATCAATAAATGTGTGAAACAGTTTTAATTGTTAATTTACTTGTTACCCAAACAAACCCATAAATTTACCCAAATTAAATACCCAATTTTTAAATAGTTTAATCGATTTACCCTTTTATATTGCGACAGTGGCGTGGATTTCGCTCGGTAAAATAATATATAACTCCGAAGGTATTGAAGTTACAGAAAAATGTTTAAGAACAAAATTGTGCATAATTAAAAGATATACACGTTGATGATCGGTAAAATTCAATAAAATTGAATGTTTGGGGAGAAAACGACGAAAAATAGGGAAAAAAATGAAATTTTTGCCTTGCGGGAGTAATAACTTAAAAAATATTGATGTTACAAAAAAAAGTTTTTAATAAAAAAGTTAATAAATTTCATTTAAAAGAAAAAAGGTCTCTATAATTTTTTGGCTAACACTGATATTTCTCGAGATATCGAATTAAACGCGTTTGCATCGAAATGACCTTGAGCTGACCTCAGTACAGCCCCTCAAATTGGAACTTAAGCTCAGGATGCACCCCCCTAACGATCCTCAAAATCCCCAAACTGTGTTCGCTCATGTTTATTTGATTCCGTAATTTGACTGGACTAGTTGGTCCTGGCTGTATCTGCAGTTGTTAGCTCCCACCTATCCGCATCGGTGGGTCCCGCGTGGTGGGATATGGCATATTCTCCTTTTGCCATCCTCGGGAAGACCTGTGCGTGATCTAGCAGTGGAGGCATGAATAGCCTGATAAGAATTGGGAGACTGAAGCGACACTTTACATTTAGAATAATTTGCTATTTTTGTTATAAACAGTAGGTTTTCCCTTCAGATCTCTTTATCTATACTTCTATACTTATATTAAGGAAAGATATGATTGTTTGTTTGTATTGAATAGGCTCCAAAACTACTGAACCGATTTGAAAAAATATTTCACATTTAGAATTATATACATTATCTCCCTGATGAACAAAGGGTATAGAGTATTTTCAAAAAGTTAGGGATTCCGTATGAAAAGTTTGATAATATAACCCAATGTGTGAAAAAATACCAAAGAAACAACGTTATATCGCGTACGCTGCGGAAGTCATTGACAATAGAACAAAGTGATGTACTATTTTTTTATAGACAACATCAATATCTTCAAATAAGTCCGCGATACTATGTGTCTAACTCAGTTATGTCACAACTAGAGGTAGTCACACAAGGTTTTAGTGAGTCAAACTTAAAAGATGGACATATTATGCTTACGCGGACTATATTATAGAACTTTTAAAGGAAAACAATTCCGTAATACGGGTTTTTTTTGGTAACTTTAACCGTTTACCCAGCGCACTCTACGGAAGCTCATAAATGGAGTATTTTACCTGTTTTTGGCAACATTTTTCATCGATCCTCCGATCCTACTCATCCTAGCGTGATGTTATAAAAAAAATCAAATCGGACCAGTATTTTAAGGGATTACCGCGTTCAACCAAAAAACAAACTTCAGCTTTATAATATTAGTAAGTATGTCTAATTTTCACTAAAGGTTTATAATTATATGAAGAGTCATTTTAGTCTACACTACACTACACCGAAGCGAAGCGAGGGCGGGCCACTAATGATTGAATAAAACTTAAGTTCTTACCCTATCATAGTATCTAATTATATACTTTTTGTACTATTTCTCTTGTAATCTTAAAAATATAAATCCGTGAATGTTGATAAGGAAAGCCAACATAGTTTCCGCAACAAAGTAAAAACGAGATAAAACAAACAATAAAAAAATATATAAAACGACATTACATAGGTATTTCTACTTATGTACAGAGCCTAAGTTTTACAATGTAAACATATAAGAGTATAGGTAGTACTAGTCATTATTTGCTAATGTAATATATGAGGAGCTAGCGAACAAAAAGGTATAATTACATAAAATAAAATTTTACAGGAGCTGTATTAAACTACCTCCTAGTAGACTCTGTGCGGAAAGAAAATGGGAGTGGCGAAAAACGGAACTAACATTAAGATTTTTATTTGGCATTCAAACCCAGCAATCTGTAAAACGTCAAAGTTTTGTATTGATACGGATTTGTTTGTTGTTGTGATTTCTTGCGGTTTTTTGTATTTAATCATGTCTAAAATGGGTAAAACCTTACAAATACGGTAGAAAAGCACTACAGCGCCCTCCAATCTAAATCCCATTCTCTTTCCGCACAGACTCTAGACTCCTAGTAGAGTATACCTGTCCTCCAGTGAGGTTTTGGCATGGTTTTAAATTATATATTAAGTAATTTTAACACTGTTTTAGATGGTTTTGATTGAAAATTATTTGAGAATCAAATTCAAAGGGCCCGAAACCTCCGGACTGTAAAAAAGAAGTAGCTTCACCAGATGCGTAATTATACCGTTTTGTTCGCCAGCTCCTCATATGGTATCTGTAAAGGCAAGGTTACAAATTATTATTTATACAGCCGTCAACGGTTCTTTTTCGTTAAGTAACAACACCATTATCTAGGTTTATTTTGAACCACGAACTATACACATCAAAAGATGACTTTCCAGATGACCGGGAAATCCGGGATTGTCCCGGAATTTTGCGCTTGTCCCGTGTCCAGTAATTAGTCTTTATTGTCCCGGATTCCGATAATGTGCTAGTTTCGTAACAAAATAAACGAATGACACCGCTGGCCTGCTTGATGTTTTAATTCTGGGGGGTGATTTGAAAAAAAATAAGCATCAAGGTTTGATTTAATGCTTTATTTTTCCAGAGGGGGGGGGGGGGCAAATGTCCCAAAATTGATAAGCGGCATCTTGCAACCCTAATCAAAAGTGACCGAAGATCAACGAACGTGATGTTCGTTGCAACACATGCAATGTGTGTGCATTTCACATTAGATACCGGGATAATATCAAACATTGAAAACAAAATTTCTAATGGATATTTCAAAAATGCTGCAAAACTATTATTTTCAGATGACTCATTAGCTACAAACACATCGGAACCTCTAACAGTGCTTTGTGATAAACATCCTACGGTTGACAGTGACACACAACTGATAAACTTCCCTCGTATATCCAATCCTCAGACTCTGTCAGTTGGGGAGGATGCTGTCTTCTTTGCTATACGATCATTCCCAAATGGTTCTGCCGTTGGCTTAGACAGTATTTCTCCTCAACATTTAAAAGATCTTACAAAACCATTAAACGGTGATGCTGGCAAAAAACTTTTAAAGGAAGTGACTGCAATAATTAATTTAATGTTGTCAGGGAAAGTTCCTGACGCCCATCTTATACGGTGCTAATTGCCCTTAAAAAAAGATGAAGGTATTCGTCTAACTGCTATCTTATACATTGTGTCTTTCTGCGTTCACCTACTCAAAAACAACAAAACTAGACTATTTATTAACTATAAAATTTAACTAAAATTAGTTTAATTCACTTGCTATTCATTAGATTTGTATATAGCAAACTTGTGCAACTGAGCTACTAATGAGGAAAATAGGAAGATTTAAGATTGTCTGGTGGTTTTCCCAAAATTATTTATCTAAACATAGTATAACGTTACCTACTATTATGATGTGTTATAGTAGAGAATTGCAAAAAATGATTTGACTGTCGTTGTCGTCAAGTGATAATTGGTTCGCATTTAGGGGCAATTACGAATAGGTATAAAACAAAAACCGGTCAAGTGCGTGATGGTTAGGGTTACTAACTTTATTTCTATCAAATATAGTATTTGAAGCTGTTACCTCTAAAAATATAGTAGTTGACAAAAAAATGGAAAAAATATAGTACGTGGCTAAAATATTTACTTTATATTTGAAGTGAGTATATTTTTGCTGCTCTATACCTTAATACTTCAGTTTTTATTTTAAGAAAGCTTTTACTGGCAAATGTCTGCTTTAAGCAAAATATAGCAGTTTGCATACTATATTTTTTTTAGAAATATAGTAGTTGATCCCCTAATGTAGTAGGATACTATATTATATAGTAGGTTTGGCAACACGGGTCACGCACAATGTAGTGTCCCGTAGTTGCTCATCGCAATCGTAAACTTTTAGGTACCACTTCGGAGCAACTTCTGAGCCTGGGCGTTCTCGCTTATAATAAGCGCATGTCGATCGTCGTTCAGTGGTTGACAACGAGGCGGCCAACCGTAGCCTACTCAACGTTAGCTGGTAGCAAACGCGGCGTCCACCTGCCTTTGCTCGTCAACTACGAGCAAAGAGTACTTTTATATACTGAAACCTCCTTATTAATAAACGAAGACTAAGCTTGGATTAGTAACTCCATGTTTTGTTTCTGTTCATTTAATGACAAATGGCATTAGAATGATATGAACAAAACACGGCGTAACTAGTCTAAGCTTATTCCTCGCTTATTAATAAGGGAGCACGAGTGGACGTCGCACGACGCAAAGCATTATGATTTGTAAATCGATAAATTATTTTATACAATCCCTCAATATTTTAAAGTAACCTTTCCAACTTTTCCAGATTTGTTTTTTACTTTAATTTCTCTGAAAAAGTTAACAAAGTAGGTACCCCCACCCCTCTGGAAAAACAAGGCATCAAGGTTTGTTTTAATGCTTTATTTTTCCAGAGGGGTGGGGGTGCAAATGTCCCAAAATTGATAAGCGGCATCTTGCAACCCTAATCAAAAGTGACCGAAGATCAACGTACGTGATGTAGCATTTCACACTAGATACCGGCGTTTACAAAAGCCGCAACATTTTCTAAAGTTTTACAAAATGTAGGCGTACCTACTTTGTTAACTTCTTCAAAGAAATTAAAGTAAAAAACAAATCTGGAAAAGTTAGAAAGGTTACTTTAAAATATTGAGGAATTGTATAAAATAATTTATACTTCTTTAACTATATATACTTAAACTATATAAACTTTAACGATAAACTAATTTTAGTTAAATTTTATAGAAAAAAATCCACGCGGACTAGGCAGAGGACGGGACTCGAACCAGCATCCTTCGCTATCCGGGCGAATGCACTGACCATTATGCTACCACGGCCCTATTAGCCGCGTCGAAATTTTCCTAGCCTTAAGCTGCAAGGCAGCGCCATCTCTTCGCATTGTAGGTAACCCACAATTTTTTCTAGTTAACTTTTCTTTAGATTTAAACATCTAGCAGTTAAATGGATAAAAAAAAATCATAATTAAATTTTATAGTTAATAAATAGTCTAGTTTTGTTGTTTTCGAGTAGGTAAACGCAGAAAGACACAATGTATAATAAATATTAGACACAATGTATAAGATAGCAGTTAGACGAATACCTCCATCTTTTTTTTTAAGGGCAATTAGCACCGTATAAGATGGGCGTCAGGAACTTTCCCTGACAACATTAAATTAATTATTGCAGTCAGTTCCTTTAAAAGATTTTTGACAGCATCACCGTTTAATGGATTTGTAAGATCTTTTAAATGTTGAGGAGAAATACTGTCTAAGCCAGCAGCAGAACCATTTGGGAATGATCGTATAGCAAACAACACAGCATCCTCTCCAACTGACAGTCTGAGGATTGGATGTACGAAGGAAGTTTATCAGCTGTGTGTCACTGTCAACCGTAGGATGTTTATCACGAAGCACTGTTAGAGGTTCCGATGTGTTTGTAGTCATCTAAAAATAATAGTTTTGCAGCATTTTTGAAATATCCATCAGAAATTTTGTTTTCAATGATTGATATTAAATTAAAAATTTTGTAGCCAAAAAGAGTTCCGTTTTTTAATAATTAAGCCCTATTTTTTATTGTAGGCAGCTCACAACAAAGAGCTAATATATAAGCTTCTAATTAATGACTAGCTACACGTAATTACAGACATTTTAATTTAAGATGCTTGAATCTTAGTAAATATTAAAAAACATTTACCAATAGAAACGAACAAGACCAGTGTTGATGCTTCCTAATGCCAGGGTCGTAGGCAAGTGCTAATTGTTTTACTAACCTCATAATATCGACAAAAACTTATCATAGTTTTTATACTCTTAGCTCCGTCGTTTTGTTTAATAACTGATCCATAGAACAAACTATAGGAATATAATATATATATAATAACAACGCTGAATATATATTTTTTTCTGCAAATACGTAATTATAACATAATACTTTTAGGTCATAGGTTCTTTAGAGGCAAAGGTGTAGAGCTAATAGAATAAAATTGCATATTTTAAGGTTCAACCATATTCTTTAATTATACTTTTTTACTTTTGATAAGGTATTATAATAAAAAAAGTTCCTTAAAGCTAATCTGAGTATTTTATACAACAATCAAACAAATGATAATAGGGGATAGTCCTATAATCACGTGAGACTTGAAAAGCGAGGGGAAAGGGTTTGGAGAAAAGTTCCGGGATATAATGAGATATCACGTGAATAAATTTTTCGTTGAACACACGATTTCTAAACCAAACAGCGGCGCGCGGTCTTCTTCCCGGACAACAATCTATACATATAAAATGGTAGGAAAGTCAAAACTGTGCATTGAATATTTTTGTAAAAGAATACTTAGGAGGGTTATGATCTACAATCGATACCGAAGCCAAAAATATAGTTTTTAGATTTTTTGTCTGTTTGTCTGTATGTAAGTACGGGATAAACTCAAAAAGTACTGCATGGTTTTACTTCAAATTTGGCATTAATATTATTAAGAAGTCGGGTCAATATATAGGCTACATATTATCACGCTATCACCTACGGGGAACGAGCAGTGAACCTTTATTTCTAAGTAACTCCACGCGTACGATGACGCGGGCGGCCGCCAGTTCAAATATAAAATTCTGAAATGTTCAATATTCTTTGTATGACAAAAAATACACGTGATTTTGGGTATGGGGGAGGATTAATCTAGAAGGGGGGAGGGGGGGGCTTAAAAGTTGCACGTGATTAATGGACCACCCCTAAGTTAATAGCGGATATAACTTGGAATTACGGGTTCTTTTTAATATCTATGCTTTTTAATCTAATAAGGTACAACACTTCAACATCTATGATTAATCGATATGATCGCAATATTTTATAAAGATAATAATAATAATATTCTTAATTGTATAACACCACAAAGGACATAAAAGTAAAATTACACTGACAGACATTACACAATGAGCGGCCTTATTGCTTAATAGCAATCTCTTTCAGACAACCCATTTCGTCAAAGATGTCGTGTCGTTTTTTAGGTGTTCCAGCCCCTCTAGCATGACCACCGAAACGGGATATGATAAAGCGATATATCGTCATTAACTGTCAGACGACAGTAGAGTTTGACAGTAATCATATCCCGTTTCGATGGTCATGCTAAAGGGGCAGGTTATTACTACACCATAGACCATACGTCTATAAACGTTGAATAAACTGATAAATTATCGATGGCACTTTACCAAGAGTGAGTTGCACCAACTTAATTTAACCGTCCAGTTTAATAAGGTCATGATTTGACAATGACAGTGAACTATCCACTGAGGCCAGTTGAAGTCATAGTAAATTTTTAATTTGACGTTAACCAGCTCAGTCCCTGTAGCATGAGCTCCACAGTTTACATTATATCACGTTTTTATCGCGTTTGACTGTCAAACGCCATAGTAATTTAACAATTGAGCATGTTAAAAACGCGTTATATACCATATCACAGTACTCTTGCTAGGGGGGCTGTGGTGCATCTCACACTAAAAATCTTAGTTTGCATTTGGATAACTATAACACGGTTGAAAGAAACAAATGGATGACCTTCGTATTTCTATTATTTGTAGAGCTCAATTTCCAGAAAATAATCAAATTAAGTCTATAAACCAAAATAAGTTCAGTTTTTAACCTAATGTTGTATTTATCTAAGTACGATCTATACATAATCTAATAAGTGAGTTTAATTCACTTAGATGCGGGGTCCTCTTTAGGTGGGTGTGCTCGGATGTACTCCAGAGCTCGGAGGATCGCCTCTGGAATAGGGGGTGGAGTGGGGAGATGTGAGCCCTGTAACACAAATAATTTATTCGTCAGGTAACACTGATAATTAACATTTTCAGTTTCACTGACTTTCTCGTTGATTTAGAAGTTATCATCATCATCGGCCTATTATTGTCCCCAGTGCTGTAACAGAGGTCTTCCCTATTAATGGATAGGGAGATTGGGCCGTGAACAACCACGCATACGGTAGTGGGTTTGAAAACGCTAACCACTTACGCCATCGAGCTCCTCGAATTAAAATTATATTTACCGAAAAGCTTTTTGATAATTAATTTTGTTTAAGACTGTTACGGAGTAGACCACGTACACTCGTATATTTTTAATATAATGCAATTTTTATGTGAGTGGTTGTAATAATAATAATAAACATTTATAATATAACAGGCGTAATTTCCATTTAACATACAGAAATAGAAAAAAATAGGTAATAAATTAAATAATCATAATAATAAAATATATAAATTACTTTAAATTTAATCAAATCAAGTAAAATGAAAAGAAATCAAGTGCAAATAAAATTTAGGTCAAATTAAACAATATCGATTGCAAACAAGGATGTTAAACAACACAAATGACATATTTATAGAAGTCATACACAGCGCTAATATTTGGCTTCCATAACTCATGTGCTCCTATTTACCTTTCAATCACTTTACATATGTACCTGCGTGAAAAATTTTAATATTCATTAGTTGTATCGGCTACTTTGTTTACTTACAATAATTCATGCAAATATTCATGCCCTTCTACTCAACTACAAAAGCTACTTTAACTATTTGTTTTTGAAAGTCCCTCTGATTCTGTCTCTACTGAACCTCAATAGATTATAAAGGTCCAGTGGGTATAATGTTTCTGATAGGAGGTCGAATAGGTCCTATCACACAATGGGACCTATTCGACCTTCTATCAGAAACAGGTAAAGTCCAGTGGGTACAAGACCAAAAAAACTAGCCATGTGCAAGGCGTATTTGCAAATGAAGGTTTCCATCTGGGTATAGAACCCTTTAACAACGGCATAATATTTGTGAGCATACAGGTAAAGAGTAAAGACCGACATTGTCATATTCCCATTTATAATATAAGTTAAGTAATATAATATATAATAAAATAACTTACCTGGGGTTGGTAACCGTTCTCGTCAGCTACGTACTGTAGTTTGATTACCTCTCCCTCGGGGGAGGTCCACTGCGCCTCTCCTTGCGCAACCTGGGCTGGGTTCTCCTGGAATTAACATAAATAAAACTTTAAAAAAAATATTTATATTAAATTCAAATTGACTGTCCCAAACTTCCCTTTTCTTATTATTTTTTTAAGCATTTAATTGCTAGATGTATAAATCTAATGAAAAGTTCACTAGAGAATATTGCACTTGGTCAAGGTTTCAGACGGGATTTGCACCTGCATCTCCCGGATAGCTTGGCCTTTATTGTTATAAGGGTTCAATTACATTTAGTCGCTAGCCCGTATTCGTGTGCACGAAAGACTTCGAGATGCCGTTGTCCGTCTCAATAGCCTACTGGTACTGTCCTTCGAAGCACACGTCCAGCTCTTGCTTCAGGTTCTTGGCGTCACGATCGCTCGATTTGTAAAGTTTAAAAAATAAAAGATTTACTTACTGCTTGAGAATTGTTAAGCGCGCCGTGCTCATGCTGCGAGATGCCGTTGTCTGTCTCCATAGCCCACTGGTAGCCGTTTTTCGAGGCCACGTCCAGCTCTTGCTTCAGGTTTTTGGAGTCACGTCTTGTAAAGTTTAATAAATAAATAATTAACTGCTTGAGGATTGTTAAGCACGCCGTGCTCATGCTGCGAGATGCCGTTGTCTGTCTCTATAGCCCACTGGTACTGTCCTTCGAGTCACAAGTCAAGCTCTTGCTTCAAGATCCTGGCGTCACGGTCACTCGACTTGCAATGTTTAATAAATAAATAATTAACTTACTGCTTGAGGATTGTTAAGCGCGCCATGCTCATGCTGCGAGATGCCGTTGTCTGTCTCTATAGCCCACTGGTACTGTCCTTCGAGGCCCACGTCCAGCTCTTGTTTGAGGATCTTGGCATCACGATCGCTTGACTTGGGCACTATGTGCGACACATCCGCTGCCGCCAAGGCGAAAGTGAAAAGGACGAGGTATTTCTGTAAGGGAAAACAATTGAACAATCAGCATCAGTTCATCGTAACTCGATACATTAGATAAATGATTGATGTCCTTTCGGTCGACCGCAGCGAAACCAATCATTTATCTAAGCTTAGCTTGATAAAATATTCTGAAAGACAACTAGCGGGTGCCCGTGACTTCGTCTGCTTTTAAAAGTCGTTTTCCGATACAAACACGCACCCACCCCTTTCACCTCCTTAAGGGGTGATTTCTAGGATAAAACTATCCTTGGTAGAGTAACGGTCAGTGCATCCGCCCGGATAACGGAGGGTGCGAGTTCGAGTCCCGTCTGTTGCCTAGCTGCTGCAAGTTTAAGCGTGAAGAGGTAACAGACAGACAGACACAGTTTCGTCGCATTTATAAAATTTATTTTTATGAATATTCATACTACTACATACTAGTACTGAGCGGCACTGGCATGAAATTCAGAACTCTCTAGAAAGAGAAATTTTAAAATTATGAACCGTCCGATCGCTACATCTCTCATTATTACTTTTGTTTATGATATTCACTTAACCATATTCGAAGAACCCCTACTCGCCCATTACAGGTAGTAGGGTAAAAACAAATTCGAATTAAAAAAAAGCCATTGAACTTTGACTTTCAATTTCATTGTACACTATGTGGAATTCGACGCAGTAACTTATTATGAGACATGTTTTACGTGTGGCTATTTTACAAATGTACCAAGTAATATATAAATTATTTTTATCACCGCTTAACCTTTCATCGTTGACTCTTTTGGTAAAGTGATGAAGGGTCATATTGTTTACCAACATTTATTATGACTCGCGTGACTGCGCATCTCTGCACAATATTATGATGCGACGTTTGAGGTCATGTCATATTACATGAAAGAAAGCGTTGCAATTGAAAGCTTGTACACGTATTTTCAGTATTAAGAGGATCAAATTACCGATGCTTCAGCCAAAATGGTGTCTTTCATGTTTGATGCTTTCATAATCCAAGTGAATAAATAGTTCTTGACGCAATAGTTGAAATTTAACAACTCATTTTTTCATATCAGAGTGAATCAGGTTTATTGAGTCCCGGCACACGTCTTGTCTCTACTGTCTGTCTGATAATTAAATGGAATATTGTTCTCAAAACTCTACTACTCATAAATTATTTCTACGTCAACTCCAAAACGATTTCAGAAATCAGTTTACATGCAGAAATATACACCTAATTAAACTCGGGTGATTTTGGAAATCGCTATCCGCTCATTACTATGCAACCAAATTACTCAATGTTTCCTTTTAAATGTCAACACAATCAGCTTTGGGATCGTTTTCCTTCGAGGTACAAAACAAAGTGATTATCATAAATCGCGATGTACAACGATAAATAATTACATGACCACTATTCGACAGAACTAAATTATGTACTCACAAACACAAGTCTTACAGCTGAACTTCGAGATCAAATTTTTTTTTTCTTATCCATGTCGTTACATGTTATCTTCTATTGCCATCCCCATTAAAGTGACAGTACTATATTTATGAAATTCAAAAATTAATTGTCGTCTCTGACGTTAGCAGTTAGTGCATAATAGAATTCATCTTAAAAGTTTCAAAATTTTGGTATCGATATTTAATATTATTCTTCCTTTCATTTTATCGACCTTCTCAATCGAGTGACATTTTTAGCGCGCGTCCGTCTGTAACATATCTCAACTTAATTGCGTCAATCTAATAGCCGTAGTCACTTAAGTGCGATAAGTGACATCTTCGTAGTACAGTAAAAAATCGTACACCATGTATTCTGTTTGTAGGTACCACTGCAAAAGACCTACCTAGGAAGGCAAAGACAACGGGAAAATTGCGTTTCTCGGTATTCCATTTCTATAGCGCCTTTAAAATAATGTTACAGTTACTCATATTCTGCGAAGATTTCTAATTTCTACCTACTACGTTTTATGAGATCCCTACCCGCTGAACAATGACTGGAAGCCTAAGGGTTTTCGTCGTCCCGCACCTAGGGCAGAAAATTCCACAAAACTGCTGTTCCGCTGAGATCTTACAGAAATTAAATAAAAACTACATCGCATATAAGCATCTAATATGGATTTATTTCTTATTTTTTCTTATCTTCTTATTTCTTCTCCTACTATTATCTTGTTCAAAGGGTTGAGGATAATAGTATTACAGCCTATATGTATTACAGGATTATAGCCTGAGTATAGAGGAGACAGAGATTTTTCAGGGTTCTTACAGAAAAAAAGTGGTCTATTATTTAGTATTATGTTTCTGAAATGAATAAGTTCACTGAAAGCTCCTCGTAGTAGGACTTCACTTTTAACATAGAAGGTAAATTTGTCCCGAACAAGGAATTAGCCTGTTTTAACTTTAACCGGCTTCCTTATTCATAATGTTTTCAAAATGTCAGCAGATACTTCTACGAGTATAATAGCGCTGTTAAACTTTTCCCGGTTTGAAACAAAGTTACCTCCCTTTTTTTTATTTTTATAACGCAGGTAAAAAATCTTTTTACAGACGACGGCGCCTTTAAGAGGCACACCACCGCGCAACGGACCTCACACCTGGCTCCCGCAAGTCTTACGGACCCCCCAGTGGCTGTAAAAAAGTCCTGCGAATACCTTCTACACTGCTTAATACGAAGCCGCGGGGTCCTCGTTAGGGATTCTACCACGACTCCGCACCCAGCAGCTTCCCGGAAAGTTACCTCCCTAGGTGCCTGGGTAAAAATTACCCATTTCTACAATGTCTGTATATTAATTTTACAACTTACTTTAAAAGCATAAAATTAATCCATAGAACAAAAACCTTTTAAAATAAACCTTACTTTTCAAGAGCCTAAGTTTTGTTGATTCGCTACTTCAGCATCGTCATTTATTCTCCTTGAGAAGAGATAATATCAAATATATTGATGTCCGATTGGTCACGCTGTCAGCCGTACGCTGACTTAAGCGGAATCCTAATATTGTTTACATGTGTTGACCTTTTCAAATCGCGGCCTTGCCCTCCGACCTCATGTTGGGCAATGCCTATATCGCTATGAGCGCGTATCATTACTTTAATATCAGTTGTTTAGAAGCTTATTTTCCTGCTTAGTAAATGAACAACAACAGAACTGGCTTCCTTAAATGTTATGCAGTTAGTAAGTAGTTAATTTTAATATGCGCTAGCTGTATACCTCTGCATTGTATGGTGTAGTACAGTCAAGAGAACTAAAACAGGGGCATCTGAATTTCCTTACCGTTTCAGTATTAAATTAATATAATAATAATAAATAAATATTTCCAACACTCACACCAGTTAGCCCCAAAGTAAGCACTGTAAGGCTTGTGTTATGGGATACTAGGGTAACGGATAGAATACATATACAGTACATATATAAGTATCATCATCAGCCTATTAATGTCCCCACTACTGGGGCACAGGCCTTCCCTATGGATGGAATACGGAGATTGGGCCATGACTCACCACGCGGGCCCAGTGCCGATTGGTGTGTGTAAGTATATATAAGTATATTTATATAGAAATACATATTAAACATCCATGACTGGAGTACAAATGCTCTTTTTCATCACACAAACAACTGCCCCCACCGGGATTCGAACCTGAGTCGGCGACACCATGAAACCCGGCGTACAAACCACTCAACCACGGAGGTCGTCAAAGTATTCTGAGATTTGATTGAATACGCATTTTTAATTCTAGCTTTTTAATTAAATTTCTCATATCACCGATAAAGTTAGGTTCATAAAAATGTATGGGTAATAAGATAAACTGATTTTACTTTAAAAGTGAGATAATAAGCATGTTTCTGAAATATGAAAATAGGGGTGGGGTCGATGTTCGCTATAATATTTACAACATACAAGTTTGTGGTACTCATAAAAACATACTTTGTGTATTTCTATAATTTTGGTGCAAAAAAGCAGAGGTCGACCGTTGGCCTAAAAAGTCCACCTTTTCCCAAAAATAATAAACAAACACTTCAAATATTAAAAGATACGCAGCTCAAGCCCAAATTAAAGCTTTGTTTTTGAAAAAAAAAACATGTTAGTACCTTACATCAGCAATCCAAGATAATATTATAATCTCTACTACACTCCGGCATTTAACAGTAGATATATTATTAACAGACCTATTACCGACTTCCACATTATTTTTATTAGGTAGGTACTAGCGGCCGCCTGCGACTTTGTACGCGTGGAGTTAGTTATTTGCACATACTTTTTGACCCCAAAAGGGGGTTTATTTCTAAAGATACATTATTAGTACACCTCTACACAATCCGCCATACCTATAGGGCATACATGTTAAATTTCAAGTCTCTTACTTCAAAAACATAAGACTTTCATACAAACTTCCAACCCCCCTATTACCCCCGTATTACCCCCTTAGGGGTGGAGTAGCGTGATAATATGTACCCTATATGTTGACCCGACTTCTTAATAATATTCGTGCCAAATTTGAAATGCATCCATGCAGTACTTTTTGAGTTTATCCCGGACATACATACAGACTAACAGACAAAAATTCTAAAAACTATATTTTTGGCTTTGGTATCTATTGTAGATCACACCCCAAGTATTCTTTAAAAAAATATTCAATGTACAGTTTTGACTTTCCTACCATTTTATTATATGTATAGATTCGATTATTCCTTTTACCCGACTGCGCAATGCAAGAGCGCGAAGCGCGACGCGCAGAAAGGGTATAGTTTTTACCAGTCTATATATCTATCTATGTATATATAATTCTTCTGTGAGTGTGTATGTCACTGAACTTCTCTTAAACGACTGGACCGATTTTGATGAAATTTTTTGTGTGTGTTCAAGGGGATCTGAGAATGGTTTAGATTCACAATTTTGTCCGCTGGACAACCCCTATTTTTTTAGGGCGGTACGAAGTTCCCTGGGTCAGCTAGTATCTATGTATGTTTCTTTGTGGCACACCAGAGACCAAATGCGTGCACCGATTTTGATGATTCATACGTCAATTGATTCGTTTTTTTCATGTGAGAGCTACATGAGATCTGATAGTAATCAAAATTCAATATGGGGACAATTAGGCGCCATATTGTGACAAAGTAAAAAGAATAATTTGACAAAATATATCTAGTGGGAAATCATTGTCTAGATAATCGAAGATCATGTCAAGGTTCCTTACACCATTTTTAATTTTATGTGACTGTTTAGGATCTACAACGATTTAAAGTTGCATATCAACCACTTGCTCTTTCAATTTCAATCTTACGTTTGTATGGATCTTTGTTACTCTTTCACTCAAAAAATAATAAATGGATTTTAATGAAACTGGGCAATAATATAGCTCATACATAATAACATATAGGCAATAATTAGTGTAGTTATTGAGTGAATTGGCCAAAATATAACAATCTTAAGTGTCACTTAAGACACTATCATCACCCTACACCTAGTATTTGGATAACGAAGCTTAAAACCAAGGTCCCATCTATTTCTATGGGGAAATTCATCACAATCGATTTAGCTATTAGGGTGCGGAAGCGTAACAAACAAACTCATTTTCGCATCTATAATATTATATGATACTAGTGATCCGCCCCGGAATTGCACGGGCGAATTTGTTTTAAAGGGATAGAATATAGCCTATGTCACTCGGATATAATGTAATTATGAAGAAATATTTTACTTAAAAAAACCTCTCGAAGAAGTTGTTTGTGGAAAAAAATCAAAGTTATATTAACCATTTCTTCGTACTTTTCTTACTAATTAGTTTAATAAAATTTAACCTTAAATCAGTTTTATAAGCATTTAGTACATTTCTTCTATATGTATAGATTTTTGTTGGAAATAAGTTTATTGAGAAAAGCTTTCACATTACCTGTCCACAGACATGTTTTAAAATAATGAAGAACTTTAAATTCTTTTACACAAATTGAGTAACTTGATGAGTTGGCAAATAAAGACAATGTATTAAATATAGTGAAATAAATAAACAAGTTCATTGATCAAGATGTATGTATCACGTACGGTACGGCACGAAAGCTCTCTCTGTCTTGCGAAAATAGAACTACAGCGATTTGCATTTTCCGAGATTTTTTTTCCGAGAAAGAAGAGGTTCAAAAGAAAAAAAAGCATACCAAACTTTTTTACACTCAACTTTTTTGATATAATATCAGTATAAGGAAAAAAATTTAATCAAAAAAATTTGAGTAAGCGGCCACCATAGCCTACAGACTGTTGCCATACCCAAATGACCACTGGCACCGTTGGCTACCCTGACCCAATCCCCTACCCTGCGGAGTTGTTAGTGTAGTGTTATTTTACTGTGATCTTCTGTAAATTGGAGGTTACTTCCCCAGAACAATTTGAGCGGAACATCCGTTATGCCCAATCTTACAGAGAACCACAGATAACTAATCTACCTTTTAGTGGTATTGCGTGTCTGTCAGTGAACGAGGTTCTAGGGCTCCACTGGGTAGATTGTGAGATTAGGGTAGGTTACGCGTGCATTCTACTTTTGTATAGCAAATGTCTTTAAGTTATGGTAGCCGCCTACTACAGGCTTGTCTACTACCCTTTTTCCAAAATAAACTCACTCAACTGATAGGTTTCTGTGAATTACTGCACAATGAAAGCTTATGCATAGGAAATATCCTGTTCTTTGAAGTTTTACTCAAACCCTTAACAGAACCCTGGTGGACCAGATTTTTTAATTGAACACTTTTCAACCGACGAATGTTTACTAACAGATGTTTTGTGTACGCTTACACTTCTACTTATAAAAATTCACTGTTATCACTTCTCACTCACCATTTTGAGACTTCACAAGACGTCGACTAGCACTGCGATGCGCTTTAAGCACGCATTCTTATATACGCTCTTGTTGATGATGCGCGCTCGTCACCAAGGCTGCGCGTAAGGGCCGATGCATACGGCGGACTTTTTGTCCGAGCTTCTTAACATCCTACTTTAATTTGATAAATGTGAAAGTTTGTATATTTGTTACTCAATCTCGCAAAAATTACTGAATGAATTTGGATTAAATTTGGCACGCTTGTAGTTTATGACCTGGATTGAGGCATAGGAGACTTTCTATCCCGGGAAAGTGTTAGTTTCTTGTGGGATTTACAAAATAAAAAAAAGTGTGCTTATGACCACATGACTGAAGTGAAACTTCTTTAGCTCCATCTGTATATATATATGTACAATATATGCATGTATGGACATATTTCATTTATATATATACATATTTCATTTACTAGCTATAAGAGAAAGAGAGAAAGAAAATGTGCGCGCGCACTGCTTTCTCTTGCTTATATCCCCCACTCAACTCTCGTTCGCCTCGCCCCAACACACTTTTCGTAACGCGTAACGCGTTCGCCACTTACTTTTTATTTACTCCTTTCCTCGTAAAAAAGTTTCACTTCAAAAACCAAAGTTGACGCGGATGAAATTGGGTCCGGTCGTTACGCACCCATTCCGTGACGCCCCTGGCCGGGACGCACCCAAAGTGCACCCGCTTTCTGTGTGCGTACCGACCCGGGGCATCGCGTGTGGAGGCCGTTATTTATAAGACTTGCTACCACTAGCACAAGTTTTAACGCAAGTTCCAGGAGCCGCTCAAAATAGATATTTGTATGATCTTATTCGAACAGTCTTTGTCTATGAGGATTTATTACATGAAAAAGGTTAAATATGTCTGTTAATTTATAGAATAAAGCAACACTACAAAGAGCCGCGCTTAGTGTCGAGCTTAGAGATAAACTAGATAGTATGCATATATCAACCTATAATATTAATGTCCAATAATAATAATATTATTATTATTAATGTCACCGCTGGTGGGGCACGGGGCTTCGCTATGGATGGAATTTGGCCGGAAGATGAACGGAAATTGGGCCATGTCCCACCATGCGGGCCCAGTCCGGAGTAGTGGGTGGTAACGACTACCAATGCAGCCGGGACAAACGGCTTACGGAGAGGCTCAAGATACTAAGTTTTTGGTCACCCATGCAATGACCGGCCATTACGAAAGTTGCTTGACTGCCACGATCGCAGACCGAACGCGCTATCCACCGCGCCATCGACCTCCACTTCACTTTACATATTATAGTGAAGCGATAAATACCGACACAGTTTAATAAATACAGTTTAAAATGGTATTGTTTCCAAATGAAGTTGACACATGCGACGAATCGTTGCTTACATCTTTGCGAAATATACACGCAAGCGTACGCCCGCGCTTGTGCCCGTCCATATTTTGATGGAGACCTTTAGGGTTTGTACACCGTGGCATTCAGACTGGTCACTGCATCTTTCGCTAGGACGCTGAATCATATTAACAACATAGAAATATACTATATTTAATTTTTTCAACCATTAAACTGCTGGATAAAATGTAAAGAAAAGTTTAGAAGAAAAGAAATCCTGGTTTCAGACGGGATTCGAACACGCATCTTTCGTGGATAGTGGAAACCTGGACCGACTGGATTTTTTCTAGTAAACTTAACTTAGAAATACATGAAAAAACAATATACCATTTAAAAACAATCAAGTTACGATTTCTAGTTAACTATAATGTGCTATTTGTTTCTTAGGTTTTCACGCACATCACTCATTCAAAAAAAACATTATTCTGACGCTGCAGACCTGAAAAGGCTGCGAAACGTCAATACATAAATAAAGTTCGAGCATTAACCCGTTAAAACTAGTTTTATATAATGTGTTAGTTTAGAACTAGCGTTATGGATGCAATAAATATAGTCCATTATTTTTAGAGACTTCAGGTAGACAAAGTAAGCGAAGTCAGTCTAGGCCCCACCAACTAGCCTCGTATGGGAAATACGAGGTTAGTTGGTACACTTACCTATATTCCTGGTCGAATCATCACGTAAAAGAAGATCACTCATTGCAGATATATGTATATTTTCGGCTGTACAATTTTTTATACTGCTGTTCAAAGTAATATAAATTGCAGACTGATTTAGTAATATTTGCTGACCATAAGTTGCTGCCTATAAAAATAAGAATTCTTTGCTGACTGTTTCAATAACAACAAAAACTACCTTCGTTAATCAATAGACTTAATAGGTACATGCTTGCGTTCTAGATAACAAAAAATATGTCGCATAAAATCGGTACGAACAACGTAACGCAATTTCCCCATTATTCTGCACGCGCCCTTGGTAAATAAATAAAAGATGGTTTCACTTCACATACAAGATGTCTGTCAGTTAATTCTCGTGACTTCATTAATTTTCAAATGTTTTATGAATAACTCATAAATAGTTCAGTCTGTGTTTTTTTAAACCATATAGCAAAGTCCTTTCACTTAATATTAATAAGTAGGTATAGCTTGTCTCCCGTTATTAAAATAGAGTTCATGCTCCAGCAACGATTTATTTAAAGATTATTTCAAAGTAACAGGATACGAAGTACAAGCTCTACCTTTAAGTTTCTGAAAGATTATTTCCGAAAAAACCTTAAAGCGAAATTGTGCTGTAATTTTGGGAATTGGGACGTCAATGAGTCTGTAAGCTAGGAAACTCTTTAAGTTGGGACGTTATTTTTCTGTTAATAGTGTGAGTTTCCAGTTATATTTCTTATATCGTGTTAACAAACAAACTTAAGCCTTAGTTGAACCCCTTTGAGGACAAAATTTAAAAGAATACCGAACTTTCATTAGTCAATAAGTCAGAATCTTCAGAATCCAAAGATTTCCGCTGTAAGGGTTGATATTTAGATAATCATAAATAATGCCTATTTATTGTTTTGAGTAACTACTCACAAGAAACACTTTCCAAGATGAAATATTTGTTTTAAATTTGCCTAAACTTCGCCCTCGACTTCGCTCGTGTTTCAATTGTTTTTAGTAAGTGTTTTGTTTCCACATTCTCCACCATGAAAATATATCGAATCATAATCTAGAATGTAAACAATTTGGTTCATGTATTCCACCCAAAATCCACTTCCGAAATTGCATCGAAATAAGTTGAAACTTTATACTTTTTTGGACCACTTACCACCCAGATCCAAATTATTGTTGAGCACATGTGCACGACTTATCTTTACCAGATAAAGCTGTGGGTTGAGATGACTGTGTATTCACGAGGGAGTGTTCTGAGGAGTTATCTCTCATAACTCACCTTCTCCTTTCTTGCAGAGGACGTGCGCTGGCCTACGTTGTCCCGACTTACGAGTACTGTGGCCACAATTCCAATGCGAACAAAGAAATGTGGTAACTCAATTCTTTGTCACCCTATCCGCAAATGGAATGCTTAGCCCGCTCTCGCGTTCCCTTCCTCCTACAACTCAGGTTCTTTGTAAAGAGGAATGAAGAAGTAATATTCAGGTCGGCAAGGTAAGGATGGCTGGTATGGCATATAACACTGATGTAACAGTTATCTACCTATATTTTGATTTGATTTACTAATTCTGGAGGAGAGGGGGGTGAAAACCGTAAATGGCACTGTTACATTATATCTTACAGAATACCTATGCAGACCTTTATTTTAAATTGATTTACTAATTCTGAAGGAGAGGGGGGTGAAAGCCGTAAATGGCAGTATTACATTGTATCTTACAGAATACCTATGCAGACCTTTATTTTGATTTGATTTACTAATTCTGAAGGAGGAGGATTGAAATCCGTAAATGGCCTGGGTCGCCAGATTATATGTCCACTGCACTTACAGCTTACTTAAGAAGAGTAGCAGTGGTGCCTACTTAGGTATATAGACAATCAAGATCATTAGTCATTTTGACTTCCATGAAATGCTAAAGGACAGATGCACGAACACTTTATTCGGATCGTTACATAATTATTATTACGTAAAAGCCGATGGATCATAATATTTCATAAATTATGCAAAAGCTGTATGACGGATGAATGACCAATTAATTAACCATACTATAAGCGAGAGAGAAAGAAAACAATAAATGCGCAATGAAGCCGCCAGTTATTATCTTTGGAGTGATGATTTAAAATTATAACAAATGTCTCTATCAACTTTCTTTTTTTTCTCCTGAGTAGCAGAAAATCATGCTGTTTGCAGACACCTTGCCAACACTGCTAAAATGCAAAGAAAATTTTACTAGAAAAAAATCCGCTCGGTTCTGGTTTTCCGACGTTATTCGAACCCGCATCTTCCGCTACCTCAGCGGACGTACTAACAAATTATGCTACCGGGTGCCGTGTCACATTTCCTCCAGTATTTCTGAGAGGCAGCGCCATCTCTTCACATTGTAGGTAACGGAAGATAAACAAATTTAAAAACCTAGTAACTGCACATTTATAATTTTACTAGAGGCCACTCGCTACTTCATCCAATTTTATAATAATTTTTGAGAGTCCCACAGGAACCTTAAATGTTTATGGATAAAAAGTATCCTATGTCTCAATCCAGATCATAAAATATTTGCGTACCTAATTTCATCTAAATCCGTTCAGTAGTTATTGCGTGATTGAGTAACAAACAAACTCACTTTCGCATTTATATTGTTAGGATTATGATAGTACATTGTTAGCATTGGAGGATTTATTTCATTTCTATTTTCTTAAAAATTATATAGGTACTTTAATTGGTACAGTGTCAACATCAATGATTGATCATTGCACATGTTTATAATTAATGACTCATATCCGTCGATACAGAAGGTTTGCGTTGACGTAGCCTGTACATTGTGTAATACCATTTAAAAATTCCTTTAAAGCCCTTTTAAAGATATTTCTGCACGCCAACAAAAACCATAGATGCGAGATGTAGGTAATACTTTTATGGCATCAAGTATTAAGTTGACAGTAGGTTGTTGACAGGTTTTCGTATATTGACCCCTAATGTAAACATATTTTAATAAGTTACCCAACTCCACGCTTCTGTGCTTGGAGCTTTTTAATTCGTGCTTATATCCGTCGCGTATACGGTGAATTAACTTCGCTTTGCTAAGTAATAACATGCGAATAATAACAAACAGATTTGTCCATAAATTTTTGAGTTGGTTTAAAATTGGTGCTGACTGTCACTTTCTTGTAACTAAATTAGATAAATAACCAGGGCCGGATTTTCGGCTCCAAAACAGAGATTAAAAAAAAAACAATTTTTGACAGGTCCCGACCGGAGAGGTGTAAATCGTAAGTGGCCTGGTGGCCATTCGCCTAACGGAAATGCTTTGGATAACGCTAAAGCTTACGATTTCATTTTGTTATTTCTAGCCGCCTGAGGTTTTCAAATGCCTCGCGCTCTTTTTATTTCTTTTGCATTGGTAATAACAATATTAAAAAAAATGAGCGTGAGGTATTTGAAAACCTTCGGTGGTCAGAAATAACAAAATAAAATTGAAAGCGTTAACGTTTTCCAAAGCATTTCCGTTAGGCGCATGGCCCCCTGGCCTGCGAAAAACTCGGTACTTACACATTATGCATATGACTAAAACATTATCATTTTGGCGTCCTCAGCAGTGGCGTTCCTTAGTCTGATCAAATTATGTATGTGTTCACTTCCTTAGCCCTGCCTGCCCATCAACGTCACATTTGCCACTGGTTAGATTGATGACCCACCTGTACCTACCTGTAGGTGTCTACTTAATATAAAAGCAATAGATCATTTAATTTATTTTCACGTGTCTAAACACAAAAACTTCAAAACTACTTGACCTATGAAGATTTTTGATCAACGAAGGACGTTAACTAACAGATTATAAACTTTATTTCCTTGAGGAGTATAACGAGGGATGAATGTTGTAGTACACATTGACGTTGCCATGCCGCGGCCAAAAAGATGCTTAAAGGATATACTTAGGTAGGCATTTATTTATTCCTTCAAATTCGCTGTTGTCGAAATGTAGGTACTCGGTACTCTAAAGAGTTTTGTCGCCTGCATCTTAACTGACCTTTTAAACCTGCAATTTGGGAACATGCTCTGATAAAATCAAAACCATAGCAAAAACCATAAGCCAAACGAAAAGACGAATCCATAATGACTTCATTTTTCGTCTACAATATTTTAATCTTCTTAAACGAAATATGTTTCGAAAGTCGTTGCAACGTGTTTGCTTATAACGCCCACACTTTATAACAAACACATCGAGACTTCATGTCAATCTCTGCCCAATAGGTAATTGTTTAATTATTTGCACGTTGACCGTCTAGTCTATCTGTCTGTCAAAATGTCACAACTTTTCTAACCTTGTGCAATGCAATATTTTGGAATTGGCCGTTTCGATTACAACATAACAAAACCATGAATTAGCGACTGTCGTGGAATCCGGGGTGTTTGATAGTTAGGTATAACTAAGATATCATAGCATGTAACTGATGTAACTAACAAACAAAGATTAGAAAAAAAGTGTTTTCATTGCAATTTTTAAGATGACCCTGACCCCTGGATCGTGGAAATTTCAAAACTTGAATCGGATATCAAATTCGGATTCGGGATTTTTATTTATTAGGTACTAATTAGATATTTTTTTTCTCAAATTCGGGTCGGTGGGAATCTGGGTAAAGTGATGCATTGCAATGCCTTTGTGGGCAAATTCTTTCCTCTAGGAAGCTTGAACATCCGCTGTGTTCTAACACAGCGGATGTTCAAGGGCGTATTTACCCGAGGGTCCCTTTTGAACATTGCCATGGCCCAGAGTCAGTGGGCTGCGAATGGCGGTGCTTTTCATTATTTCGCCAAAAATCGAATGAAAAAGATGTTAAAAAAACAAAACAAAAAAAATACGAGAAAAATCAGCTAGTCACTTAGGATTTGCACAAGATTATTTACTAAAATCAAATCAAATTATAGGTGCGTAATGATTGCATTGTCATTCCATGGCCTATATTTTTCTGCCGACCCGGGCCATGATCCAAGGGTAAATACGCCCTTGAAAGGGGTCAGCGTAGTCAACCTATGAATGATAATATTATAATACTTCCTTATATTAAGTACTTATCTATACACAATTAAATAATTGCTTTTATTTTGCTATTTTTTGTGGCTTTAATTTTTGTAATATATGACTCGGCATCAAAATCTGTGAGTGTACAATCACCTCTATTTCCCTATCCTAGGTAGGATTTTTGTTTCCAATTACAACTTTAAGGTAATTGTTATCCAAATACCGTACTCGTGGCACAACACGCCAAGTGCACCGTGTTCCGTAGATATTTTATTGTTTTTTCTTTTTATTTTGTATTTCAATACAATGTTTTACGCGATTTAAGCAAACAATTACTATGTCACTTTAAGATGTTGTTCTAAGGATTTTTTATAAGGTAAAAAAAATCAGTGCCAGGCTAGCCCAAGTAGTGAATGGGAACTCTATCAGACCTGCATGGCACCGACACCAAATATTTTTGTTTATTATTTTTTTTCTTTTCGGAGGTTTTTTTTTGTTTAAAAGTTCTTATTTTACTTTTTTGTGGCTATTGTTTTTGTGATATACAACTCGGTATCAAAATCTGTGTGTGAATCATTTTGATTAAGCGTGCAAGTATAATTTTCTGGTCTATATTTTATTAAATTCAGATGACTAAAAACTAGAAGAAAAATCCCAAGCATTTACAAAGTGAAAAAACCCGGACAAGAGCGAGACGGCCTCGCCCACGAGTATCACGCCGTATATATTTTATATCAACTTTGTTTGATTTATTCACAGCTTTAAGGAAGCGTAGGTCTGGGTGCATATTTTAAATTTCAACTTGATACCTTTACGCGTTCCCGAGATGTCGAAAGGGTCTTGGCAGACAGACGGCCAGACGGTCGAAAAATTTATCCTATATGGGTTCCGTTTTTTTTCTTTTTAAGGCATAGAACTCTTAAAACAGATGATGATCGGACAAGCATATCAAGTTAAGATAAAATCTTTACTTTTTTGTTTACATGATATTTTTATTAACTACTCGGCATTATTATTTAGTTAAAGGTCGTATGCTAATAAAGATTATGTCATTTATAATGCAGGAACTTTGAACTACCAACCTTGAATGATTAGATTTGATGGAACGCGTAAAAATAAAGATAAAGTAGATAATATTCAGTAACCTACAGTTTCGCATGCAAATTAGCAAAAAACAAAACATATAAATACACATGTACCTCATTTATGTAAGTATGTAAATAGATATAATATTGCCGTAATGGTAAATATTATTATGGCTGATATTATTTATATGCCTAATATCTTGAATACTGAGATGTAGATACATTCAATACCGCTTATTAAGTTTTTTAGTCCGTGTCTGCATTGCATGGAAATATACATTATACTTATTATCCGAAATTCTATAACATATTGCAATAAATTTATAAGAAACTAGCGGCCGCCCGCGACTTCGTCCGCGTTAACTTTGGTATTTGAGAATCGCACAGGAACTCAAGATTTTTCTACGAAAAAGAGTATCCTGTCTCAATCCAGTATTTACGTGCCTAATTTTATCCAATCTATTCAGTAGTTTTTGCGTGATTGAGTAACAAACATACAAACTTACACAAATATAATATTGTTGAGATACATCATGATGGGAAGTGTTAGCTGCCTCATCAATGGGCACCAAATCTTTCTCTCTTTCAAGTAATTATCAATTCTAGGCGAGTGGTCACTTTGACCTTTCTCATTGACTATAACAGATACCACATCCTATAACCTAGTAATTTTCTGATTGGGTGAGTGTGAAACCTTTAATAATAAAACTAAAATACAGTTTTTCATTTATAGTTTTATTCAGATTACGATGAGAACGGTTGTGGTAGTGCGGATATCCCATTTTCACTAACCATCCCTAAGGCATACTTGCTTGTAAATTTATACAATTTGAGAGCGGCTCGTTGCTTAAAATGCTGAATTATAACACTGCTGATATAACAAAATATACGATATTGTGTGTAAAAAAACACATATGGTGAATGCCAGACATCTAACATTCGTTTAACATTCAAAGCGTCAAGATTACCACAAAATGTCAAATTTTCACAATCGATTTTAAATTTCATGTCAAACACGTCAAGGATATATACTCATTTGACAGTTTAATCTGAAGAAGCTTTTAAATGCAGCCATTTTAAATAACGGTATTTTAAGCAAATGTTAATTCAATTTATAGATACTATTAATGACTAAGAATTATTTTTGGGAGATAAAAAATGAAAGACAGGGCCGGATTTAAGGCAGGCTTCCACAAGAGGGGATACAAAGGAGATAAAAAATAACCAAATTTCGACGGGTCACCAACCGGACGGGTCCAATCGTAAGTGGCCCGAGATGCCTGATTTTAATATACGCCCTCGTTAGTGGCCTCCACTCCCACATCTCTAAATCCAGCCCTGATGAAAGCTTTCATTATAAATCCTGTTTCTTAAGTTTAAACGCATCCAACAACTGTAATATGAAGAAAATAAAACTAATATTTAAAAAAAATACTAAGTATTACACATACCATTTTACCTGGTAAATTTCAATACACTCGTCCTGCAGGGACTATTCGATATTATTAATACATAAACAATGTCTGATTATTATAATAAATAAATTTTCTTCCACGGACTGGAGTCACATATTATACATTATATCCAAAATGCTAACAAAACAATCGGATAGTGCACTATAGAATTTGACATGGAAAACTGTATAGACAACAGGTAAATATCGCACTCTCATTTTTACATACATGATTATTGCTATTAGATCACCGCCTTTTCAAATTTCATAAGCAATAAGGAGTATTGTTTAAATTAGTGACCGAACGAACCTTCAAGACAATCGAAGATGATCTTCGAATAAACTTTCGACTTCAACCGAAATAGGCCTAAGTTTCGTGTTTTAAAATCATTAAATTAGTCAATAATTTGTAGAAGAGGCAACGAGCGGAGGTGTTATTTGTATTTTGAAGTTTACTTCTTAGCCCACTTTGATTCCATTTTTGTAAATTATCTACATAAACTTAAACCACTTTATTTCCTTCTAGCCTACAATTATCTAAATTTCTAACGATCGCACTTAGAAAAATCAATGAAGTTTTAAGTTTGACTAAAGTTAATGCTGTCACTTTCTTTGCGTTAACAATAGAATGAGATAACACGTGTCTTAATGAAGCATTAAATTAATTCGACGTTTCTGAGTACGTCTGTTAGTGTCGATGAAGTGAGAGAAGGTTACAGCGTTGGTTTAGTTTAACAGCTTCTGCCGAAAATGTATGTTCAGTCGGAAATTAGTTCTAGGCTTTTATGGAGTTATTGGTATTATTTAGGCACCTCGAGCGCTAATCGGCCACGACCACGACCAGTGGCCGCAACGACCAGATTTACTAAAGTTGGCTGTTGCAGCCAAGTGCGCGACGTTCGTTTCGTTTCTATACCGAAGTAGCTCAGTTTACTAACAGAAAATGTAAAATATCGGAAAAACGTAGCACACTTACGTTTTAGATAGAACCAACATCCGTAATAATTACAATTACAAGAAAATGAATATTTAGAAAGGGCGAGAAAAGGTCGTACTCAGAAAGGTCAAATAAATTAAATGTCATATAAAATCGTGTTGTCTTACTCTATTGCTGTAGCAAAGAAAGTGACAGCAATAACTTTAATCAAACTTGAAAATTGATTGACGTATCTGAGTACGGCTGAGCGAGAAACAAATAAATACGAGGTCACGAAATAACGTCATTCATCATAATCGTCACTCACACTAACGCAGGCCTATTACGTAACTTGCAACTTGCGACCACAACGTGACTGAGTTTTTGGATTTTTTTCTTTGTTTGAAAACGCCATCAAATTGCTCTATTTACAATACACAGCGATAAGGATATTTATTCTATTCTTTTTAATGGCAATTTTGTCGATGCCAATGTCGACAATTCTGCCAATATCAGAAGTGATAACCAAGCGTGTGTTTGATCAATTTGTTCAAAAACCTGTAATAGAAATCTATAGTTTATCCGGCGATGACAACGAAAGCAATATTTACGAAAATGGCAAAAATTGGAACTAACGCCGCCATCTTTGCAAACGTCATAATATTTTGTATGTCATTTACGTAGACTGCAGCGCCCTTCCTGAACTTTCCCTCACATTCATAAAGACCCTTGTCGTACTTTATTTTAGATAATGTTCTAAACCACCTAAAATACCGTGATTTAATGACGTTTTCATGCAAAACCCTGAATATGAAAAGTGGTGTTTGTAGTTTTCTTTTTAAATAATATTTGGCGCATTTTGAGTCTGTGTTCATTAAGCGATCGCGAATCAGTTGCAAATTAGATAGATAATAGGCCTGCCTGTCGCGTCCAAGTACAAAAATATAGTGTCATTGAGTCAGTCTTGGCTCTGCGGTTAGTTCTCGTCGTACAACGGAGTGGAATCGCCTAATGACATAGATCGCGGCGAAGTGTTTGTATGCGGCGTAGATCTCAGCGAGTGGGCTCTTGACGAGCGGCCTGAATGGTGGGAGTCGTGGCGTGGCGTAGATCTCGAATCGTGGCGGGGCGTCGCATCGTGGCGTGGCGTGGACCGTGAGTCGTGGCGTGGCGTGGAACGTGGCGTGCCGCGTTGGCGTGGCGTTGACGCGCCTTCGCTGCTACGCGGCGTCGCCGGCGTGTCTCGTGCAGATCTTAATAAGCAATAATCATCTCTTAGACAGAACGTAGGATAGAAGTAATAAAGAAGTAAAAATAGGAATAATAATCCATTGTGTTAATGGAATATGGAATGTCCGTTGCACGTTCATACAATTTACTTCAGCTATGCCCAAATGGGATACATGATTCGGTCGATTATATTACATACTTACAATCTTTTGTACAATTATGATATGCGATAAATGTTTGACTTTGACTTAGAACACGGATTAGTGGGTGCTGACAATTGCAGATGCGGCCGGGACCAACGGCTTAACGTGCCTTCCGAAGCAAGGAGGAGCTGGAAACAATATATTTTTGGTCACACATCCAACGGCAGACAATTGCGAAGGTAGCTTAACTCTCGCGATCGCAGGTCAAATGCGCTTACCATTTGCGCCATCTAGCTCCCCTGTATTAGGATATAAGGACCAAATTATAAGACGGAAAGATATAAAATGAAATTGAAGAATAAATTCGTGACACCGAAACATCAGAATCGCCAGTGAAAACTATATCGTCTGGCAAGGGGTAAGGACACTAAGAGGAGAGGCAAAATTTAAGAAGCATTTAAAGAAATATTTATTACTTTAGCTTGAATTGATATAGTTACCGGCTCGAAGGACCATTGTATTGAACGTTAAAGGCACTGTTATTGGGGAATGACAATGAGGTGTAGGAATGTTAATAGTTGTCTCATTGCATTTTTTCCAATCATCATACCGAGATAACTAGATAGAAATATTGAAAACAAAAAATCAACTAAATAAGACCAACAGCCGTACTCAGATGTAAAAAAATGTCGTGAAGATATTCATTTTGTCTAGAATAGATTAAACAAACAAATTATCGCAAAGAGAGGAAGAAAAAACTTTAATAAAACTTTGACGTCTCTGAATACGGCAATTGTGTACACGGTGAAACTTCTTTTCTTAAACAACCTCACATTAGGCGGTGCATAAGGCATAGGGGAATGGAGCAGCATTACTCATATATAAAATACCTAAATCGTACTAAGAATAAGGAAGAATAGCTTACCTATATTCCACCTTATCTTGCGCAGCCTTCTGCCAATCAGCAGGTTCCGTATACGGCGGTATAGGTAAAGGTTTCTGACGTGGTACGGATAAATGGGACTGAGATATATTATATTATTGGCAATTATCTTACCTATGTCGCCCCCAATCTTCCGCAACCTTCTGCCAACCAAAGGGTTCCATATACGCCGGTATAGGTAAAGGTTTATGTCGTAGCACTGGGTTAGAAAGTCTGGCTGTCGACATTTGGCGGCAATCGGTGTCATATGGTGAGTGCGTGAGCGACGTATAACGAATAATAACTAAATGGGACTAAGAATAAACAAGATTGGCTTACCTATGTCGAACCCAATCTTGCGCGGCTTTCTGCCAATCAGCTGGCTCCGTATACGCGGGCATGGGCAGTGGCTTTTCTGAATACGCTGGCATTGGAAGCGACTTTTCCGTATACGCAGGCATCGGGAGTGGTTTCTCTGAATACGCCGGCATGGGTAAAGGCTTGTGTCGTGGCACTGCCGGGGTTAGGAAGTCTGGTTGTCTAGGGGTCGCGGCGAACGGTGTCATGTAAGGGGTTTGAGCGGATGGTGTGTATGGAGTGTTTATGTAGGCAGGACCGGGGGTATGTGCGGGCGTGTGGAACGCGGGCGTGTGAGCCGCCGGCGTGTGGTATAGTACTGAGGCTAATCCGTGAGGCGTTCGCAACGCGGGCGTTCGCTGAGCGGGTGTGCCGCTAGGCGGTGGGTCTCTGAAGTGTTCCTGGTTGGGAGAAATTAGAAGAATGAGTAAATTGTCTAGTCTAGTCTAGTCTAGTGTTAGTCGTCATTATTATGTATTGATGTGTAATATTAACTCTACTCAACCATAGGGTGTTGTAGATAAATAGTGGTACAACTTTGATGGAAATTACAGAAAAACGAACGGATATAATATGTAGTATTCATATATATATTCACACATATACATTTACATACATGCATACATATTATATAAACACACATACTACATAAATATATAAAAAACGAGCGAGCCTTACAGTAGTCGCGTATGATGTGTAACATTTGAAACCTCACCTTATATTATTAAAAAAAAAAGAAATAAAACCTACTACAAAACGAATAAGCCTTTCTTAATTTAATTCTTAAATCAAATCAAATAGCGCGCGCTTCCCAAACTTCCTGTTACACACTTCCGTCCCACTTCACGTAATCACTCCCACAAATTGCACGAAAGCGAGATGAAAGATGATACACATCAAAAAATAGCAATAACAACTTACCTTAAACCATTTTAACAGTCCACCTAGCGAGTCGAACATTCTCTGCCTAAACTTGTATCCATCTGGCGTCACGGACACATACTCGTGCGTACACCGCGACCGCGGTAAATACGACAATAGGAATCTACCGGGATGATTCTTAGCCGCCGATATGACGTAGTGTATCTTATTGGGGTTCTTAGCCTTCTCCTCTTTGAGCACTTCTTCGGCTTTATCCCTCATGCCGCCGAGAGGTTTGTAGTATTTGTAGGAGATCAAGTCGCGGGCATGCCCGGCCATTGGGGTCACATATCGGGCTATGATTTCGTCTAAGTCTTCGAACTCGGAACCCTGTATCCAGAGGCTTCGACCTGCAGTAAAAGGAACAATTATAAAAAGAATCGAAAATGTCGATGAAACATATTCTTTCTCTTTCGCACTTTACTGAGGATAGCATGTGCTAGAGGGACAGAATGTCTTACATGGTCATTATCAATTCTTTTCTTTAAAAACACGAATAATGTTTTGGCATCCATGACTCTCTAATTAACTATAAACAACAATAATTAATATTTTAACAAAACTAATGCAATTCGAAAACAACAATAGACCGGTAACTGACACTATTAATTGATAAAAGTAAAACAAAGGATTATGATTTTTTTAATAAGCCAAAGATGTTAAAACTGCCACTTACAACTACTTTCAGCTGCTGTGGTAAACAGGCGCCAGGAACTATGTAACAATGAAGTACTAAAAATATAACGTGAAACTAAGTAATATGTGTCACTATAATATTAACATACCTAAGGAGAAAGCGTTCTCTTTGCCCTCTTCCCGCACGTCGATATGCTGGTAGATACCTTCAGCCACTTTCCAAGTTACCGTTAAGTGATCCGAACCCTATAACAATAGACATAAATGCTATTATTTATTAAAACTATACTCAATTCACGTTAATCAGTATCTATAAATGTTATTTATTTTTGTTATTGGCCGTATTGTATTGTTGACATTACTCCGGTCAATAACAGCTCCCTTTCTTCAATTCAATAAGCTCGAATTCTCATCATACTTCCATGAAAAGGTAAGCACGATAGATCTGCTATAACCATACTAATACATATTATGAAAACAAAAGTTACTTCTGCGTGTCCGATTGGTCTTCCATATGCATAGTTATATTATAAATAGCATATATATAATGGAGGAGCTCGATGGCGCAAGTGCTTAGCGCGTTCGACTGCGATCGTTGAAGTTAGCAACTTTCGCAGTGGTCTGTCATAGGATGGGTGACCAAAAAAATAAAAATTCTCGACTGCATCTGCAGTCGTAAGCACTAATCCGCACTGGACCCGCGTGGTGGGTCAGGGCCCAATCTCCCTATTCTATTCATAAGGAAGGCCTGTGCCCCAGCAGTGGGGTCAATAGGCTGATCATGATGATTATTAATAGCAAAAGTAACTCGAGTTTTTTTATATTATTGTTATTAATTTTCGGTATAGAAATGGACTAGAATTTGGAGAAGACCACAGACTACTTTATGTCGCGAAACAAAAATTAAAGGAGCTTAACAATTTGTATGGGTAACAACTTATTCTACGTAGAAGGTTACATGTTTTTGCGTACCTTACTGCTAGGCCTGACGATAACTTCGCCCTGTGCCATATTCTCCATAAGTTTCTCCGCCTCAGCGTATGAGATGTTATGGAATGCGGGATGCACTATCACCCTTTTAATGTACTGCATTCGTTCCTTATTCTGTTTCGCCTCCGTGTCTTTACGGACGTCTTTGTCCTCGGCCTCTTGATCGTAGTAAGGATCTTTTGGAGGTCTACAAAATTACAGGTTTTATTATAACCATGCACGCTAATATAATGAAGAATAAAGAATTTAGTTAAACACTTTTGAATTATTTTATAACACACATCATTTAAATTTTCTCGATTATTCAATTTCTTAATTTGCACAAACACAAGACACTGTGAAGTTGAAAAATGAGATTTTTTAACATTGACACAGTAATAAAATAAACATGCATTAAAATAAAATCACAAAATAAAAAATACAAAAGTGGAGTCCAGTGTCCGACGTACAAAATACCTAGATCAGCATTATCAGTAAAATTTTACCCGGATGTTTGCCTATGCCTCTTAATATTTGCCCCCTGACCCGTAGGTGCCAGGACGGCTACATTACTCAATTACCCATACACTACAGATCCATCAGTATTTTTTTATGACTCCTCCACCCCACATCGTGCCAACCCACTCAGCTAACCCTAACGGCTGGCAAAACAAACTCACCTTCACTGGGTGCAACCTATGAAGGACCTTTCTACATCTATCTTTAATATTAGACAGCAGACTGTTTATCCGATCTCACTAGTAATAAATAATATACGACTGTAAACAAACTCACCTTCACTGGGTGCACGTGCAATCTATGAAGAACCTTTCTACATCTATCTTTAATATTAGACAGACTAGTAATAAAGAAAATAAACTGTAAATAAACTCACTTTCACTCTTTGTTCTTATCTAGCGATTAGAAGACAACGCAGAGTACGTAGAACCTATCCAGGTCTACCTTCGGCAGTGGGCAATCCTAATAGGCAATAATAAATATACATACACGCAAAACAAACTCACCTCCACTCTTTGTTTTTATCCAGCAGATCTGAAGATTTAGAAGTGCAGTCTACTGAGAATCTTTCCACGTCTATCTTCAATATTCGACAGTGGACTGTCTGTCCGATCCGGACTCGTTCAGTGGGGTCGGCTACATGCCGGTCCGATAGGTTCTTTATGTGAATATAACCGGACAGGCCGTTGTCTAACCGTATCCGGACACCGGTAGCCTGACCCGGACAAGCACCTGCGTCGAAGTGGTTCCATACCTAGTTGGTAAATGAGTTTATTTAAAAAAGGAACCGCTTTTTCTTAATTGGCTTAAAACTGTATTATATGTTTTAGATAAAAGTAGAAAAGTATGGCCCGCTCTGACTGTAAGCAGCCACTATATCTTATGGACGTTTACGATACGAGTTTCACCCGCCCATTGCCTACCCTTGTCTCATTCCAATATGCTGATGCTGTATAATTTGTTTAAAGTTACTATAGCAAATGATGGTATGGAAATGAAAGAAAAACAGAGAATTCTGCTGATAAACTTTCAGATAAAATCAACAATACAAGCTATCAAAAATACAATATCGATTGGCAAACTGTCTATTTTTTTTGTATTAAACTAAGAGCCAATAAATTTGAAAGAACTTTAAAACTCACTTCTGACAGCTCAGGGAAGTCGTTCTTGTGACAGAACGGACATTCCCATAATCCAGTCTCGTCATTCCTGACCGGATTTGCCTGATCCAACATCTCTCGCTGGGGTTTCCTGTGTGTAATGCCAATCACTGAAGCCAGCAACATTTTGCCGACATAGAACGTGTCCGGAGACTCTTTGGTAAGTATATCGAACAATTCTTCAGGCGTCGGCGAGCGATAAGGGACCCTTAAGTCTTTATACCTAGAGTTCAGTTCCGCTCGTATATCGTAAAGCGTGATGCATTTGTTTCCAAAGCCCTGCCTTTCCAGTTCCTCCGCGAAAGCGTCTAGATCCAAGTCTTTCAATCTCTCTGGAGCTTCAAGGATTTCTTCCACTGCTCCCGCAGGATTGGCGTCCTCATCTTCGTATTCCAAAGCGTCGACGGCCATCTTTCTGGCCCATTCGTAAGTCTCCGGATGCACACGCGATCCGTCCAACACTTCTATGTACGCCTCTGTACTATCACCTAAACTGCTCGTGTCTATTTTGATGAAACCGGAACAATTGATGAAGACTTTGGGACCCATGTGGCACACTGTAACCAGCTGAGTTCTGTTCTCCAGCTTCTGGTTGGTCTGTTTGAAGAGTTTGATTAGCGCTTGGGCTTTTCGAGGTCCTAAGCCGCAAACGTATTGGAGAAGCTCAGTGCCTCTTCCTGTAAGTATTGCTTCATTCATGTCCACACCTACTTCATTGATGCGATTGACAAATTCTAATTCTATGCCTTCCAGTAAGTCTTCTTTGGCGATTTGGTCTTGCAGAGGATGGTATCTGAGGCAGAGGATTTCCTCGTCTGGACCACAGAGCTGGGATATCTCCATGAGCGGATCTTGAAGGAGGCGTCCTTGGCATACGGCTTGACGCAATATATCGGGATACTCTCTGAAGTCGTTCTAGAACAAGTACCATTAGATCAATGAAAGAAAAACCTTCAGCACCATTTGAAAAACTTTAAAACAATGTAGTGTTCCATCCGTAATAAACGGTACTAGTCAATTAAATTAACAATTATAGATAAAATATGTTATGTTTTTTCTGTATTTTTCTTCTTTATTATCAAATGATAGAACAGTATTGGAATATGTCTGTATGTGTTATCGATAGTTACCCGGCCACGGATGCTGTTGCTGTATATCTTGCTGATGTGGTTGTCCATTATCTCGATGGGTATACGTGGAAACTGATCATCTTCAACTAATTGTTGAACACATTCCGCTACGTCAGCCTTCACCTGAAGTGCCTCGCGAGATTCGCCTCCTATTACGATTACGTGTGGCTTCTTCCGCAATATGAACCTACAACACAACAGCATAGTATAAGTTCTACTTTTGTTCGCCTATACACGCTTTAAGTGGACTGTGTCTATAGACTGGCATGAACTGACAAAAAATTAATAAAGTGAAAAATTAGATCATAATTTTGGCTTTAATGTAGGATGTTATAAACAAAATATTGAAAAAAAAGTAAATCAACCTACAATATTATTTTAACCAAAGCTTTCATTCAAAGATTTCATAATTTGTGATATCCATCTGATTTCAAACAATGTATATAAAAAAGAGGATATTGGTCCTTCGAGCTAGATCAAGAATAGAAGAACCTAATTGTTTTTATTTTCATTCTAATTAAATGGAATAGATATATTGTCAATTACTACAGGTAACATGTTATGTAATCCAAAAAATATTTTATATTAGTAAATTTTTAAATGCCAGAAAGGTGTGAAACGATTGAATTTGCCTTCCGAATAAGTTTGATTTAATATGAATTAACACTACATACCTTCTGAGCGCAGTCATATCGGCCTCCTTATTTTTTCGCTCGAGCGCATCCCAAGCATTACGACGGTACAGTAAATGGGGTAACCGCAAATGATCCACCACTTCACCAGCGGCGGCTACTACGCAAGCGAACGCAGAATGTGTACGTTCCGGTACGTATGCGATCGAAAGTACCCGGAGACCTGCAAATAAGAAGAAAGTGAGAAATAAATTATGTTGATTTTTATGTGAAAAAAGTTTAGTTCGCCTAATAATAAAAGACTAAATAGGGTTACAAAATAAGATAGTCGGCCATGTAACAAGATTTAGGTCATATTTATTTATTATCTTACGCCTATCTTTTGAAACATGTCTGTTGCGATCTGAAAATATTCCCTGAGTGCAGGGCTGTCTCTGTCTCTATCTATCTCACTAGATTGTAACATAATTAGTTCTGATAATATCAGCATGCTTAACTATCATATTTAACATATGATTTTCTTACTTTTAGTACAGACAATAAGTTTGCAGTAATTTTGATACCACTAAGGATATCTGTAATTTGATGGAAAAAAACAATGAATAAATAATACCAGATTACTCTTGTATTTTCTATTAAAGTTGATCATGATTACACTTGCGTATAATAGGGGGATTGTTTAAAATAAATCGACGTACCGTTAGATGTATCCCATTCTTCGTCATCGTCATCTGAGACTCTGGATACGTACGGTGCTACTTTGAGCCAATCATACAGACGACGGCGACAACACCTAAACAGAAAATTTATTTTAAAGTTAAGAAAAGGAGGCCCTTTTTATTTTCATTTCAGTTTATCCTCTTCTAACATTACGTTACATCAGGCGATATTTGAAATAACTGAGATGTGGACGGCCAAGTTCCAAAAACATTGTTTCCTAAACATTGTTTACAATGAATACATAGCTTTAACCAAACACTTACTTGAGCACATACTCCTTGGACTCCTGTAATAGTACGGAGTGCAGTTCTCTCCGTAATTCAGGCATCACTATTTTAGTGAGTGCTATGGTCACAGCTTCGGCCCGTAACTCGTTCCAAGCTTGCACAGTCGCCGCAAACTCGTCCTATGATTTACAGTTATATCTATATATTTAAAAATAAATTGCTGTTCGTTAGTCTCGCTAAAACTCGAAAACGGCTGAACGGATTTATCCTAACTTGGTCTTGAAATGTTCGTGGAGGTCTAGGGAAGGTTCAAAATTTTTGTGGAAAAATTGCGAGTTAGATAGTAAAAACGTCAATTTAATTTTCCCATATAAACTGTTCTATCTTCTTTCCTGTCAAACATTTGACATTCGTCCCTTTTGGTATGATAGACTCGGACCCGTTATTTCTTCCAAATAATTTTAACCCGTACGAAGTACGCGCGGTCAACTAGTTTAGAATAAAATCACATAGTAATTGTCTAACATTTGGAGAGGAAAGTGAAGAATATGTCACTAAAGTTCTAATTGATAAGGATTGAGTGAGATTAGAAATCTTCGTGAAATCAACATCAAACAAAAGAAAAAACATGACATGTTTTTGAATGAAGTCCATAAATTATAAACTACTTATAATAATTCAAGAAATCTCTTATATACATGGTCCTACGAGCAGTACCCTTAGCACGAACCAATATCGAATTCGATCTCGATACGCGTCAAATGTCAGAGACTTTTGTATGGAAGGTTTTTAATTCTTATTCCGTCCGTTGTGGCGCTGTTCAAATTTCCATACATTTTTTTTGTCATTTAATGCGTATCGACATTGAATGCGAATATACGAATTCGATATTGGTTCGTGCTAAGGGTACAGCATATAAAACAAACTGAATATACACACTAAGAAACATTCACGACTATTAAACATACCTTTTGATATAGCTGCTTTAACTCCTCCAAGTAGCTCGGACTAGTGTTGCCTTCGATCTGTTCACTTATACAAAGCTCTAGTAGTTTGTCCTCAGAAGCCATGTTGAGCTTCAAATACTGATCGCCGGTTAAATCCCGCACAGGTTTCTTTTTTAGATATTTTAAGCTGTTAGAAAAAAAACATATTGTTCGGTGATTGCTTTATTTAGTGAAAAATATGAAAAAAAATTTTTTTTTTTTTTCAGATATATCCTTGTTTTGTTAGTCTCTATACGACATAACTGTTATATGGAAGTGATGACTCAAATGGGCACAATTTCGTGTTATAGTATAAAAAAAATATTTGAAACAAAAACCAAATAAAAGTAAACCAACCGGTAGTAATATTTTAAAACAAAGCTTTATGTCAATTCATAAATTTATTGTGTCGGTGTGACTTCAAACTACTACCCATTCTCTTGTAGTTGTCCGTCACAGACCAATTACAGACACATCAACTGGTACCGTCGACCAATACCGCTTTATTACAAAACGTAGACTAAAGATATACCTGGACTAAAACTGATACTGTCATTTTTTTTTGCTAAAAAAACAGAGACATTTTGTTCGGAATAAAGCAGATAGGGTCGACTAATACCACCTTATCAATAAACGAAGAATAAGCTTGGATTAGTTACTCCATGTTTTGTCTCTGTTCATCGAATAACAAATGGTTTTTGAGTTATATGAACAAAACACGGCGTAACTAGTCTAAGCTTATTCCTTGTTTATTAATAGGGGGGATAGGGTCTAGTCTATGAACGCGGTGCAGTAAGGCGAAGAGGATGAGAGCAGCCGCGTTTGCTTCAAAACGCGTAGTACGTATAGGTATAATGTTAGTCCTTCGAGCCGGATCAAGAATAGGCGAGCCGAAACGCTCGTAATTTATCGCGAAGACAAATGTTTTATTTAAAGTCGTTTCTTCCTTTACACACGGTGCAGTAAGGTGAGGCGAGGGAGAGCGGCCGCGTTTGCTTCAAAGCGCGTAGTATGTATAAGTATAATGTTCAATGAGCCAGATCAAGAATAGGAGAGCCGAAACACTGATCATTTATCGTGAAGACAAATGTTTTATTTAAAGTATTTTATGTTTATCACACTGTTCATACCCGAAGCAGGGGTGATTCTCATCAATTTCCTTCAAACCGCGCGGCGTAGGTCGCACTGTGAGAGTAGCCCGTTCTCTTAGTGCGTCCCGTAGCGTTCCTCGTAGAAGTGGTTCACGGGCCAATTGAACTCCGCACATGTAAACCGCCCTACGAAGGACTTCTGCCGCTGAGCCTATGCCACCAGTCTATGGACAATGCTTCTATGTAAAAACAAAAAACTAAATCTTATATTAGAAGAATCTGCGCTTGAAACTTATATAGTAAATTGAAACTCAATATACTTTAACCAGTAAGTATATTTCAAGTATAACTCTTTCAAATAATGTGTTGGCAGCACAGCATACACACTCGGTATACGCTCTCTGTGTCATGTTGTTCCATTCCATGTAAGTCCTATTTTAAGAAGTCTTGTGCCTATCTATTGTTTGATTAATAAACACTAACAAGTATCATCGTGTTTAGATTTGTGACTGACCCCAACATGCACGAAATTAATAATATATGAATGAACCAACTATTGTATGACACTCACGTATGGGGCGGCGGCTTCGAGCGGTGGCACAGGTTGTTGATCCACTTCGTGCCTCTGGTAATTATCCCGCGCGTTTTCCGCAAACTGCTCCGGAGTCAAACCGAACTTCTTTACCAGTGGCTCTGCGGCAAAATATATATATAGGGTGAAATTGAATGTTTTAATGAAACTTCGTGAGATTGTTGGGTTACGTGAAAAGAGTATGCCTGATTTTTTTCGGATTTTTTTGAAGTATTTTTTTTATGTTTTTATTTATAATTTGTGTATTTTTATGTCATTTCCTCCTTTTGAGTAGTTATTCATTTTAAACAAACAAACTTACATATCCAGTGAAAAATAACTAATAAATAAGTACTTCAAAAAAATGGAAAAACATTAAAATTCCACGGCGGGTCAACGACCGACCGCGCCCGCCAGCCGTTGAGTGAGTACGTACCCCTACACAGAGTTCAATTGACTCCTTTGATTCCACACAATACAATAAAGTCGTCTTAGATGCCTTTATTGAAATAATAAGCACAGATGTCATCTTCTCTTAAGCGGAGAAAAACTTTAAAAGTTAATAATAATTTTGTCACGATTAGAAATAGGCAAATGTTAAACAAAAAGAAATACTTATTGCAGTTCAATACTTGGGTGAAATTTATAACCCGGTATTCAAAAGTACTTACGAGACCGATGTACCTATTCATTTTTTTCACTTAAACTTCCCGTATACACTTTGTAAACACAATCAATCACCAAACCTACTTTCGTAAAGCCTTGTGGCTCTGCTGAGTATACCGTGACACTACAATAACAACACACCATATCCAACTTCTTATATTGAGGCCACAGAACAAGAACTAATCATGGCATTATTTGCAAATCTTCTCTTGTCCCAAATTTAAAAGATACGCACGCGCGGTGGATAAACTTGACACTGCGCTCGCTCACTGCGCTTTGCACCGCGCATAGGTAGGTATTCAACCGATTCAACGGCGGGAGCGGTCATTGCTCCCGACCGCTCGTCTTCTGTTTTTACGTTTTTTTAGTAGTGCTAATTAGTTGTTTTTTACTTACTCTGTATGAGTGTTTAAAAAGAATAATTATTTAGTACCCAAAAGGAGATTAAAATATAACAAAAAAAAACGAAATTTTATTTTAAATCATTTTAAAAAATCCGAAAAAATTCAGAGATACTCTATATACGTAACCCAATAATCCCACGAAGTTTCATTGAAACATTCAATTTCACCCTGTATTTACATTCCCTCATCTGTCAATCGCCATGATTAGGTATCCTTGAAAAAATACGATAGATTCTAGTAACGCTTGTCAGGCGAGTTTAAGCAAATCTAAGAACGTCGGATCATATAAACTATCTTATCAATTTATCGGTGCGTGTGATGAATAAAAAAAGTGAATAAAGTGAGTGAAGTGAAGTGAATAAAAAGTGAACAAGTGAATAAAAAAATATACTACCAGGCATTAGACTACGAGAAATTACACAGTACCGCCATGAAGGTTGACTACATAAACGACACTAATGATTACAACTATCTAGAGAGTTTTATCACAGAGCAGGTGTGTAAGAATAAAGTGGAAAAAACAAAATACATAAACCCACTCCAAGAAGACTGGGTATCGAAAGATATTATTGGCTTAATTAATTCACGTAATATCTTATGGCAACATGCAGTAATGACCCCTAGAGATGAAAAAATCAAGAAAAACTTTATTCAGCTACAAAGACAAGTGAAGACCCTTATCAAGATACGAAAAGACGACTATTATCTCTCATTGTTTCACAAAAATCAATCAGATCCGAAGAAAATGTGGGAACGAATAAACAACTTAGCTTCAAACAAAATCAAGGCAGGTAGTGCTCCCTCAAAATTAATATCGGATACCGGACTTACTATAACTGAAGGTAAAGAAATCTGTAATTTGTTTAATTGTTTCTTTTCGACCATTGGTTCAGATTTAGCTGGACAGATACCGACCACTTATCACCAGAATACCGGGAATACACTTATGTTTAATAGTGATTACACACACAACTTAATACTTAACGAGCTTAAACCATGTAGCACAACTGAAATATGTAATATTATTGACAACCTAGACAGTAACACTAGTACTGGTCTGGATGGAATAAGCACAAAAGCAATCAAGTGCCTGAAGGACGTGATTGCCGATACGTTAGCGAAATGTATCAACGAGTGCTTATTGCGCGGTGTTTTTCCCGATTCACTTAAAGTTGCTAAAGTTAGTCCCATTTATAAATCCGGAAGTAAAACAGACCCTAGTAATTACAGGCCGGTGTCTGTCCTTCCTGTCATTTCAAAAATTTTTGAACGTGTTTTGTATGACCGCCTAAACACTTATATAACAGATAAAAAATTACTAATGGAACAACAGTACGGCTTCCGTCCGAAATCGGGAACGCTGAATGCTGCTGTAGACCTAATTACAAAAATAAAAACCAACATTGATCAAAAGAACAAAGCTTTAGGCATTTTCATCGACTTAAAAAAATGTTTTGATACAGTAAGCCATCAAAAACTACTACAAAAACTAAATAATATAGGTATTACTGGCGCCGCTCTTGATATGTTTTCATCATATTTAAGAAATCGTCATCAAATCGTAAAAATTGATAATTTCACTAGTTCTTCGTGTCACGTGACTTTCGGCATTCCTCAAGGGTCGATTGTTGGCCCATTGCTTTTTTTAATTTACACCAATAATATCGCTAAAATAGGACTCAAAGGGCATATAACCTTGTATGCAGACGACACCTGCCTGTTTTATTTCGGGAAATCCGAAATAAAACAGGCAGGTGAACACCACCGCGTGAAAAACACCGCGCAGCAAGATCTCGACATACTAAGTGAATGGTTAAAATTTAATTTACTAACTATCAATACGTCTAAAACATCCTTCACGATCTTTTGTTCTAAAAATAAACATTTACCGAATTTTACGCCACTAACTATAAATAGCGAATTAATACAACGATCTTATCGTGAAAAGTATCTTGGACTGTGGATAGATGACAAACTTATTTGGAAATGGCATATTGATCACCTTAAAATGAAATTAACTTCATTATTAGGAGCATTACGTAAGATAGCTAGTTGTATACCAAGTAACGTTCGTAATATAATCTACAATTCTCTAGTCAAATCACATTTGGAATATTTAAATGAAGTATGGGGGTCAGCCGCTGCAACTTACTTAAATCCACTACAAAGACTATAAAATAAAATTGTTAAGGTACTGTTTCGTTCCCATTATTTAACGCCAACAAAAGAATTATACAATAAGACTAATTTATTTAATCTTAAACAAATATATACATATTGCGCATGCGTCCTAATAAAAAATATAACTACAAATTCCATCCAAACCAATATCACATTACATAAAAAGATTTACAAGCATAATCTTAGAAACAAAAATAAACTTCAACTTTGTAAAGCACGAACTAATTACGGACAAAAAACGATATTATTTGAGGGAGTACAGATGTACAATAGGTTGCCAAACGACATTGTGGAATGTGATAGCAAAAAAATGTTTAAAAGTAAACTAAAAGAATACGTATTGTCACTTTAAGGAAAGTTTTATATTTCACTTCCCCCTAAGTAATAATCGAGTCGATTTAGTTTTATTTATTTTTTAATAATATTATATATGATTGTTTTGTTATTTACATAAGAATAACATTGTGAATGCTCATAAGATCAAATAACTTACTATTGTTAACACTGCACACTGGGCTTTGAACAATTAAGTCATAAAACAAGAAAGACTCCTTTTTAAGGGTGTTGAACTATTAGTATCAATTTGTAACTGAAATATCCGATGTTCCAAAAGGAGCAATAAGTAATACACAACTGCATGTTATTTCTATATTCTCATTTTAAGTGGACTGTATGTCTTTATGGGAAATAAAATATCTTTGAACCTAATACGAGCATTTGTACTCCAATCATGGATGTTTAATATGTATTTTTATAATACATATTAAACATCCATGTTCGTTAATATACTATGTATTCTATCCGTTACCCTAGTATCCCATAACACAAGCCTTATAGTGCTTAACTTTGGGGCTAGACTAGGGAGAATGTAAACAAACAAAATTGCAACCGTGCGTAAGAAACCTACGAAAAAAAAATGCAATAGGTAAAACAAAGGACGCAAGTGAGCTTGCCTACGGTTTTATGAGATAACCACAAATATGGATGATTTATTCATATAAATAGATTGAATATAAAGGTACCTTAGCTGATTAAATTATAGAAAAAAAAAATCCAACACTCATACCAAATTTTTTTTTTATACTAAATCTAAATCGAAACAAGATATAAAACCATCTTATACTGTTTATGATTTACCTATATTACGTCGAAATCGTACAGTAGCGTTGAATCTATTATTTAAAGCGCTAGAATTAGGTAACTTAGCTCATCGTGATGATAGCCAAAGTGACTTATTTTTCTGTTATTGCGATCAACTTGAAAATTATACTTGCGATTTAGAACATGCACATTTTTCTATTATGCCTTATAGACCCGTCCGAAAACGATGATGATGATGAAATTCGAACTCATTTTAATTATACTTATTTTCAAGTTTTGTCAATACATCGTAGCTTAACTAAATCAAATTTAAATTCTATTGATTTTCCTCATCATTCGGAAACCACACCATCGCCATTACGTGTAAAACTTCCCAAAATTCAGTTGCCTACTTTTTCAGGTAACATTATACAATGGCCTGAATTTTTTGATAATCATGAGTGTCCCTCACTTAAAAATGTGGAGACATTTCACTATCTTGTGTCATTATTGAGTGGGGATCCTTTAACTCTCATTCGTACGTTCCCCATGACGGGTGACCATTATTGTAATGCGTATTTTGCTCTAGTTATGCGTTACCAAAATAACTAAGAGAATTAGCATTTACTTGCAGGAAAGATATTTTAAATACTGATTTCAAACTTCGAAACGAAAACGATTTTCGCAGAACTTTAGACACTATTGAAGAAAACTTAAGTACAGGCAGTCCTCGACTTACGTCGTTTCGATTTACGTCGTTTCAAGTTACGTCAAACAATGTTTTGACACTATTCCTCAAGCATACTACTACTACATATATGTCAAGTGTTTCGATTTCCGGGATAGGAGAATTCACTTGTCCCCAGGTCAAATGTCTGTGGGGCCGGAGTCCATGGGGATGTCTCGACTTACGTCGTTTCGATTTACATCGCGTATTTCGAGAACCTAACATGCCGTAAGTACGAGGAGTGCCTGTATTTTAAGAAAATTGAAACTCCCATTAAACATTGGAATTTTATTATGGTTTATCATATTTTGTCAAAATTAGATTCGAAAATGCGTCGCGAATTCGAAGAGCGGTGTAGAAACACTGAGCTTCCGTCGTATTACGAATTAAAACAGTATTTACATTCAAAGTGCGAAGCGCTTATACGCGATACTAATTTTCCTAAAACTAATAGAGTAAATCACCCAGTTATCAACACAGCTAAAATTAATTCCAATATTTATTCGGAACGATTCCATGCTTTACATACACTTTTAACTAATAATAATAATTCGAATACTAATATAAACAAAATAATAAAAATTAAATTAAAAATAAATAAACCATTTGTTGTCTTTGTCTTCTTTTTAGCAAACAAAGGTGACAGCATTAGTTTTTCTCTAGGTTTAATAAGGTTGAAGTTTAGTCTACGTCTTGTAATAGTTTACAAAAGAGTATCTCACCAATGCCGGCCTTCTTACAGAGCTGATAAGGACCGGAATGAACTGGGTATTTCACATCCGTCTGTGGTATGTCTTCTTCTTCGGATGCCCTGGCGACTATTTCGGCGACCGCCTCCTCCGGGTCTTCGCCGTTCTTCTCGGCCTCTTCGCGGGCTAATTTCCTGTGTAACAAACATGTTATTGTTAAACGTTTGCATTCTATACTGTATTCAACTTCTTCCGAGACAAAAGGTAAACAAATAAACCAATGTTTCTAAAACTGTTTTATCAAGGCTGGCCTATGTAACCCTTTTTCTTCGATAACGGGGAGAAAAAATGCGTTATATCCACGATAATGGCCAACGCCACGTTGGTTTGCTGTTAACAAACCCTCGAGACGCAGGTTGGCCTATGTAACCCGACTGATTACAAAATTTCACATTTTAACTGAAACTATTTGCTTTGATGAGTAGTGAACACTTCGATTTAGTAGAATTATAATGCCTTCAAGGTTTGGAAATAGCTACAGTTTTAGTCTTTTTAATGTCAATTTTATTAATTATGATTTTATATGCTTATAAAATTCAACCTATTGAAAAACCTTTTGAAGTATTGTTAAGCTTTTGTCTCAGAGGCAGTTGAATAGAGTATAGGGAAGGATCGCTTCCAATACCACTTTAAAAGGTTTTCCCGGCCAGAGGCGTCTAACTAAGAGAGTTACTCATAAAGTGAAACAATTTGTTTATATGAAAGGGGTGATAAACAAGTATAATTTTCCCGAATTTACATAAAATTAACATTCAATGTAGTCGTTTGGTAGGCTCACTGTTTTTATAGCAATAATGGAGTCCATTCTGGCATGATTCTGTAAACCTAAAATTAAATTTGATCCTTGTCATTTTCTAAAAGTTTAGTTATAAGTTTAGAGAATTATGCCATAATCGTCACCAATATCGTACTTTTATATCTTTTTCTATTAAATCAAATTGGATAAAGGATAAGACAATAATTTCACAATTATTTATTTATTTAAACTTTATTGCAACATAACACAGCAAATGGCGGAATGCCATAAGGCATTCTCTACAGTCGACCAGTAAGAGCGTGAGAAAAAACTGATATGACGGGGGCGCAATAAAGACAAATGTAAGATAAACCAAGGATACAAATACTCTTAACAGAATACACACACATAATACACACATACATACACATACATACATATATATATATATATATATATATATATATATATATATATATATATACATCTTGCTGACCATGTTGCGTCTTATATGGCGATTTTTGCTATTGATCCTGCGTCCGACCGACTTGATGCGTCCGGTATACGGACGCAAGATTAACCTAGCCTCATTTTTGGTGCAGAGACGTCTTTTCATGCATAGAATACATGGGCAAAAATTTGGCGTGGACTCAATTTCATCACCAGAATGCTTTTTAACGTATTTCATAGTGCAACCATTGACCGTGCGGAATTTGGAGGGCGCTGCCGTGCAGTGTATATTTTGCAATGTATATTTCGGGTTTAATTTACAGATTTTATTGCGTCTTCCTATATATATTTAAAAAAGTTTTTATCAATTCTCTACGATGATTATCTTGCATCCAGTAGGCATCTTAATTTGCGAGATCGCGCGACACCTGAGGGGCCTGTTTTGGGTGCATGGGAGAGACGAAACTGGGTGTCCTACGGGTCGCGTGTGTTTGTATACAGATCCGTGCTCCGTGGACGCAAACTTATTACCGGAGTGAAATTTATCGTATTATTTGATAGAAGTAAATAAACGTAAAACAATGAAGAGATTTTTTTTATTTTAGCTTTGATATTTTATACCATTGATAACTATTAGGATATTATTGTTTTGTTTTCGATTTTTTTATAATGTAGATACATAATGAACCTACACGATAAATCGATATTACTGATCGAGAGAGCTTAAACAACGTTAATTATTAGCCCCTATTTTATTAAGAATGTGATACATTTGTTATTTTGTCGTAATGTACCTACAGAGAATTCTTGTTAGAACTGTTGGTTAAATTGTAAAGTATACAGTATTGTTCAGCCTTTGTTATGGTATTTATAATAACACATCTAGAAAACTTGTTAAATATGTCACTGAAATTAACTTAAGCTTATTTCTATGCACCATTTGCTAATTTGTATCATTGTTTTTTTTTGATATCCCAATTAACCTTACCTCTTCACTATCACTTAGTATGTATACACGTATTCACCTTCCCTATAACTTATACAAATTCAAAATTCCAATTCAATATCAACGCAACCGTGCCCCCCACGAACACGATAAGACGAGCCAAGCAAAGTGCAAGGGCTTCACCTAACTTTTCCCGAAGGGCTTCGTCATTTTAGTGGACCTCTACAACTAGGGTTTGGATTATCCACATAAAAAATCTCGAGTTATATAAGTGACGGTGAAGTCCAGACGCGAAGATAGCTGATACAGCAGTTCTACCTGCCACACCAGCCATCCTCACCCTGCCGGCCTGCATGTTGCTTCTTCACGCCTCTTTTAAAGAATCCCAGGTTGTAAGAGGGAGGGAATACGTTAGCGGTCAGCGCATTCCATTTACGGATTGTGCAACAAAGAAATGACTCAACAAATTTCTTTGTACGCGTTGGAATTGTGGCCACAGTTATTCGGTAACAACGTAGGTCAGCGCGCGAGGTCCAATGAAGGAAAGGGGAAGGTGGAATAAGAGAGAATAACTCCTCAGAACACTCGCCGTGGTACAGACGATAGAACGTGCTTAGTGACGCCACGTCACGGCGTAATTGTAGAGGCTCTAGGTGTTTAGTCACCTCTTCATCGCCTATAATGTGGATCGCGTGCCGCTATAACCCATCCAAAGCATCGAACAAGTACTTGGTGGAGTCATCCCAGAGTTGCTGGCAATATTCCACGCAAGACCGCACCTGCTCCTTATACAACAAGCACAGTGAAATTGCTCGGGCGTGAAAAAACGCCGCATCTTGTTCAGGTCTCCAAGACATGAAAGGAATGGCGACGTTTTTGCCGTGAAAGCGCAGACCTGGGTTTTGTTAGCATTGAACTCAACCAAACCTGATTGAATTCAATGACAAGATTCTCCCGTTTCTTCTTGGTTACCGCCTGCCCAGCCGCTGCTTGTCCGAGATACCCCGCATGCACTGTACTATCGTATGCATCGCAATGAATATTTCCAAAAGGAATTAAGTCATTGATATGCAGCAGAAAGATAGTGGGGGATAGGACGGAGCCCTGAGGAACGCCGGCATTCACTTACATGAACCGCGAACTGTTACCATTCGTAAGTACGAATCCTACGTGCATGCAGGAAGTCAGCTACCCAAGAACAGAACTGTGCCGGCAGAAATATGCCGGAAGCTTGGAGAGAATGCTTTTGTGCTAGACACTGACGAACGCCTTGGTAATGTCAAGGCTGATAGCCAACGACTCGCCCCGCTTGTCGATAGCCTTACCCCAGATATGAGTCAAGTACGCTAGAAGATCACCCGTCGATCGTTTCGGTCTAAAACCATACTGACGATCATTAATCAGGGATTGATCCTCTAGGTAGTGGGTCAGATGGTTGTTAAGAACCTTTTCTAGGACTTTACATAATACTGGGGTGACTGCTATTAGCCGGTAGTTCACCGGGCCTGAGGGATCCCCTTTTTTAGGCACCGGTTGCACGTTGGCATCTCTCCAAGTCTCCGGCACACGCCCCAAAGAATACGAGCATTGGTACAAGCGCGTGAGAGCGGAAGACAACTCCGCTGCACATTTTTTTAGTACTACTGATGGGATGCCATCAGGTCCACCAGCTTTCCGGATGTCGAGTGATTGCAATTCGACACGAACCTCACGCTCCCTGATTTTAATATCGGGCATCGTTGTGCCACAATGAGGTAATGATGGTGGCAGTGCATTGCATATATCGATTTGGGAGTTAGCCGCAAAGAGTTTTGCCAGTAAATCGGCTTTCTTCCGTGGCTTATGAGCTAGTGTTCCGTCAGGGCATCTCAGAGGTGGCAGCGAGGGCTGGCAGAAGTTCTTTTGCACGGCCTTGGCCAAACGCCGATAGCTACAGCAGCTCGAACGATGCGTTATAAGTTCGTGACCAACTCGTGTAACGCGCTGGGCATCCGCTGTAATCCTTCTTACAGGTTTTGGAAGCAAAATTATAGGCTGCTTTTAGTGAATCGACCCCGGGATCCTTAAGAGCGCGGCCTCTGATCCAAGCACGATATGCCGCTTGCTTATGCGAAACAGCTTCAGCACAGTGGTTATTGAACCAGAGGTTAAGTGTGTCCTTACTGATGAAATTGGAATGAGGAATATAGTATTGCATGGAATAACAACTCCTCAGAATAACAACGGTGCTGGCCGATAGGTCCTTGTTACTGAAGCGGCGCTGCTTCCAAGGGACGGACGCAAAGTTGTTACGCATACCGTCCCAATCTGCCGACCCATAGTGACAGATCCGGCGTTGTACCACCGTTGGATACGGAGGCTTGGCCTGTGGCGCTTTGGTAGATATCGGGCAGTGATTCGTAGAGCCCAGAGCCCCCTTACCACAACCTGACAGCCCTGTGGATGGGTCGTGAGCAGAAGGTCCAGTGATAAAGTTGATTGACTTGAAATATCTGAAATCCTGGTGGGCTGATCGACCAGTTGCTTCAAGTCATGCATGAGCAGAGCCCTGCATGGTTGGTTTTCGAGGAACTTAACCACAACTTAAAATTGTGGTGAGCATTAAAATCCCCCAAAAACACCAATTCTGTTTTGGGAAATTGTTCTTGCGCGTCATCTGCTGCCCGACTAAGGTGTTCGAAAAGTCGAGTTGTCTCAACATCGCGAGTATGGGATCTGTAGAGGCACACGTAGACTCTGGCTTGTGGACCAGAGTCGACTTGTACCACCAGCATGGAGTAGGAGGGATCTTCCAAGCAGCGGAGACGGCGACAACAAACATTCGCCCGAACATACAGGCATACACCGGCTTTCGCTTTGAAGGACTCTTTAAACACGTAGCCGGGATAGTTAAGGTAGCCTGTGTCAGCAGGCGGAAGTATTTGTGTCTCCGTCAACAATGCTGGGCGTGCTGTTTCAAGATAGTGGTGGACAGCGTTGAGGTTAGAGTGGAGTCCGCGTAA